GATTATAGGTCGCAACCGCACTAGTACCGGCAACGGAGTGCTACTACTGATGCGGCTTTCTAAGCGATATTCCCTGCTAGTAGTTCATTCACTGACTTGTTGGCATGCTTTGCCCTGAACTACATTTATCCAGGCGATTCTGCGGCTTGGTGTCGTGCATCCATGCGAATAGAGTTCAATCGCTGTTTGGCAACTGGTGTGAAATATGATGAAAAACTCTAAATTATTTTGCGTAATCCCACTTTAGATCTGGTTTTAGAGTTTTGGGTTTAGCGTCAGGGGTGGGGATGCTCTTATACAGTACTCGAAGTTCTACGTAGTATTACTTGCCACGGTTTTGTCGGTTTCAAACCGATTGAAACGTTGCATGAAACGCTGTTGCAACACACAGTGAGTTCAAAGTGCACTAACGCTTACGTTAATATATTGATTTGAATCTATGCTGGAAGGCATTCGACAGCTTTCCTTCGAGCAATCTTATGTCCGTCGACGCTCAAAACGCCACTTCACATGTCTGATAGTTCGCAGCTCTTGCTTACAACTGCTTGAACGAACGCTTCCATTTCATTCGTGCGCTTCCGATAGGCCCGTAACACGACAGCGTGGCTGCCGTCCGGCAGCGCGCCCCTCGGAGAAAGCGTGGGTGGGGTTCCCCCTATCCCGCTGTTGCGTGGTCGAGGTGACGACGGCACGCGGGCGGAGTTCCTCGACTGCAGTGTTGCCAAGCGTTGGATTGTCGTGAAGTCGCTTCGCTGAATGGCCAGAGCCAAGTGGAGGTGTCGCACCCACACGTTCATCTCCATTTCACTTGCAGCAGAAAACAGCATACGTCGCTTGGGGGTTTGAACTGCAAACCGCCACAGCGTGCCATTGGTGCCGGTGTACGTGGCGTCGCGAGGTAGCACTTGGATAGACTTAGGCGAACAGTCGCGCAAATCGAGCTCGCCTTTTCGGACATCGAGTTCATAGTACCGCAACGTGGAGCTCGTGAGGACTACATGCCGAAGTTTCCAGGTTTTGCGGTGGAACAGCCCACCTTGACCTCGCTTGAAGAGCATTCCTTTCATCAACGCTTCGACCGAGTTGAAGTTGTTACTTTGGGCATCACAGAAGCTGTCGTCGGAGTTGGTGCTGTATCGGAGTGGCGTTCTCTCAATATACGAAGCAATTGGCGAAGACGCCAAGGGGGCCATGGTGCCGGTTTGAAAGTGACGAAAGGTCATGGCATCCCCCTCAACAACAACGCACCGCCAGCATGGCGAGATTCGACCGTTCTTTATTGTGATTGGAGGACTTTGAAACGGCCACAATTTCAACGTCCCCACACCAATATTCTTTGCGTAGCATTAACAAAGTTAGACCAATGTTCTTTCCATTGCATACAGATATGAGGCGCTGACAGTGTTAAGGGCATATCTCACCGAGACGCCGGTTTTCTACAACGGCCTGAGCCAGTCGCAGGATTTTATCCTTGCGTCGCAGCCATGGGATTCTCGCTGCAAGTCGCTTTCCCACGCTGCCACGTAATGTTTGGTTTCTTTCGCGAAGCCAGTTCAGAACGGCTGCTTCGTCAATCTGGCCGTCTTGCCGACGAGAGAGGGCACGCATCGATTCGTCATCAAAAGGGCAATTTGCAAAGTACAACAGGCCTACGATCACGCTACTATGGACGGTGCGTGTGGGGCTACCCACCATGTCAAATGCAAAGGCCACGCACGGATTCGAGTCGTGCGGACGTTGTGTTCGTCTCATCTGCCAGAGGTGCGCAATCCGCGCCGCTTCCTGCCGCACTTGCGGCATCCCGACAGAGCTGGCGCAATACGCCTCTGATTTGGGCACTGTTATGTGTTGACGACTCCTGTCAAATCGAATGGCGACGACGGCGCGACCAAGTGACGCCACGTTTAACGTTGTGGTCAAAGCAAGCCGTGTTGGGTTTTCAAAAACGTGCACTGTGGGGTACCACATCACAAAAGCATCCCGACTGATCGCGCCCGACTTGTCTGGGTCCAAGACGGGCCACAATCGTCGCTCCAACATGAAGCATCCCACTGCTGCCAGCGCATGAACGAGTTCATTTCGTTCAAGTCGTTCTGAAGATGTCACGGACAACGCATCATATACAGCCCCAGCGCGCGATTCGATTGGTCCCTTGGGGTCCAGTCGTTGTTTCAACGCCGTGATTTCCTGGGCGAGGGTCACTTTGCCGTCTGCGGTCGACAAGTACGTTTTGAAACGACGCACCCACGCGCGGGCTTGGGTCATAGAGACTAGGTCTTGGTCCTCGTCCATCCATTCTAGGCCTCCGTTGGACAAGTGATGCCGATAGTTGGCCACCTCCACAACACGAGCGGCTTGCTTCCACGTCCGAAAGCCTCGTCGACGGCGTGGGTGATTCACGTGTTGTTTCTGTTGTAGCCATGACACCAATATCACCTCGTCGATACGACCGGAGTGCGACGGATCCAGCGCTTTCACCGCCACTGAAACATCTGCGGCACTCACTGGGCGATGCAAAAGACGAAGCAACGCCGCCAGCGACGCCACTGGGACCACGAACAACTGCGTTTTAGTACCTGGGTCTTTTCGATCGTCGACACATGCCAACAATCGCACCAAACCAGCCACGAAGGCGTCGCCTTGAGTGCCGGTGGATGTGTGGGTTTGGATTCGAAGGGCGCGCAAGGTTAGAGCAGTTGAGTTCACGGCATGTTGACCCGAGATAGTGTGGAGGTACCGTTGGACGGCTGCGTTCATCTCGGTGTCTTTCGTCTCATCGGCAGCCACTTGTAGTACGCTTTTGACCGTGTCCGTGAGCCCAATGCGGTGGTGCAAGCTAGCCAACATCTCTTTCTGTCGCGTGTGAATAGCAATTGCATCTACAAGACTGCGTCAGTTCAATAGTACTAGTCGTCTACATCGCGGCAACTTACTTGTCACGTGGTAGTCATACGTTTCTTGGCGACAAAATGCTGTACAGAAAATCCAGTGTCAGGTACGCATATGGACTCGTTAGCATATGCTAAACGACGTTGTGGTACCTGCTTGGCAATCTGAACATTGGTACCGCGGCGGAAACACTTTTCGAAACTCGCGCCTCGTCTTGGTTTCAATAAACTTTTTCTCACGAGCAACCACATATCGCAATGCCTCGGCCCGTCGCTGGGCCTTGTTCCCATACACCAGTCGTGTCCACAGTCGCTTGAATTGACGGACTGCAGCCATTGGCCCAGTTGCCGTTGTCATGTTGAGGCTCGTGGCCCATTTCTCAAAAATGGCGAACGACAACTTGCCAGTACCAGTCATGTCCAATGCATCAAACGTGGAAGGGGTCGTCACCTCCCCCAAATCCCGAGCGATCTCTGCAAACTCGCGACGGTCGAGGTACCCAGACTCGTCTAGGTCGTACGAGTGGAAGAGATAGTGCAATCGCATGCTGTCCATCTTGGTGGCTGCATTGGCTCGTTGAGGCGTGAGGCGCTTGACTCGCTGCATTTCTCGGCGCAGGACTCGACGCCCCGACGGTGTGGCCACGTACGCGTGGACGTGTTCGACGCCTACCGCCACCGCCGCGGCCACCGCTTCGTCTTCGAGCGCCTTCCGGAGGACCTCGTCGTCTTCGGGGCTGCCGTCTCGTGGAAACTGACGCGTGACGTTCTTGTCGCATGTGCGCTGGTGGGTCCAGTGCGATTTGTACAGGGCAAACGCCATGCCGCAATACAGACACGCGTACGCTGGTGGCTCCAACGCGCGAAAGGCCAGGACGACGGCCGAGGCTTGACGGACGCTTTCGTCATGCACAAGCAGCCTCGTGGCATGCTGGGAGTAGAACGCGTCCGTGAACCGGTTCAACAAGTGCTTCATGTTCAGTTTCATCTTGAGGTAAACCAGTTCAGGACGGTTGAGGCGTCGGACTCGATGGCCTTGCTGGGCCGGTGGCGAATGCAACCAATGGATAAATTCGTCAAACTAGGCATATTTCCTCAGAGGCCGATTAATGGGGTGAGATTTAAGCACGGCTTACATCCACGACGCCGTTGTGATCGGTGTCCATCGCATCCAGTGCATCGTGGAGCTCTCGGCGGTCGATGGCAATGCCAAGCTCGTCAAACAAACTCTTGAGTTCAGTGGCGTCGATAGTGCCAGACCCGTCCACGTCGTAAGCGTCAAACACATCTCGAACCTGCGCACGACGGAACGCCTCTGGCGGTAGGTGCTTTCTCGCGTCACTTCTTTGGCTCGCAGTCGCTTTCAACTGCAGCGTGAGACGGGTGCGTCTGGCTCCGAGCTACGAGAAATGAATGGTCACGATCGTTCGTCCACAACACAAATCATACCACCGAGGATTTGGACGCCGAGATCAACTGTCGTTGAAAGTCTGCCATTTTCACGGCTACGTTTGTCACAGTATATGCCCGCTCCCGACTCGACCGCGCCGCTTCGTCCAGTTCCAGACGACGCTTGAGCTGGCGGACACGATAGCGTGCCACGTACCCCCGTATCCATCGATCTTTCGTCTGCGCACAAAATTGGGCGTGGCCTAGTCGTAGCCGTCGTTGCTTGACGGAATGGTACCCCACTAGCCACGCTTTCACAAACAACGCCAAATTGCGCACCAGCATTTTCCGCTGGCGGCGCGCGTGCACCTCCTTTCGAGCGAGTTTCACTCGCATGGCCGTCTACATGAGTTGATTGAATGCAGTAGATGGGATGGAGGCGGTGTCGTACTTGGATGCGGAGACGCATGGCCTCTTTATGCAAGTTGCAAGCGTGCCACCATCGCTGGATGCATGCCGCGCTCTCATTTGTCAGCCACAAGCGCTTGGCCAGCCTTCGTCGGATGTGAAACCCACGGTACAGTCGCGTGATGTTGATAATCGCATTGTTCATTCTGCCGAATCGGCGTCGATACGCTTTCTAGTTCATGTTGGGTATGGAAGTCCTACACATGAGCGACGTCTTTGACAGGTACCTGAATCGTCGTCGCGTGGGCGTGTACGGCCATCGAGTAGTTGAACCCCCACGATGACGATCCTTTGTCGACATTGTCGTCCTGAAGCAATTTGTGCACCCCCGTCTCAAGCGTGGCTACGGCAGCTTGCACATGGCCGTCCGCCAGTTCGGTCTGCGCGGCATCCCGAATTACCGCGGCCGTACGCTGAATCCAGTCGGCCTCGAGCTGGACTGGATCTGGCAGAACTGCAGCACCAGTGTCGAAAGGAGTTGCGTTGCCCTCAGTCCCGTCACCAAAGATGATGTCAGCGCTCATTTCGGCAGCGAGGAGGGACGACGTCTGGTCGGTCCACATGTCTGTGCCAGCGTGGGCGTAGATTGTGCCACGTATTCGCCGCTGCATTTCCACAGAGTACTTGGCCAGTCCTTCCCCTACAAAACAAGTGCATTAGTTCGGTGGTCATGTGGATGGATTGGGGTTACGTGGTGTTTGATTGGCAATTGGAAAGCTACATTGACATTGTTAGCGACGCAAGAATCTTCATTTTGTGTGTGTGGCCGCACCTGCTTGGGCCATCGTCGGGATCAAGCAGAACGTCTTGAGTGAGCTCGACCGGGTCTAACTGGGCGGTGACCCACGGATCTTGCGGAAATTCTGGATGGAACTCTTGTTCGTCCTTGGTAGTTGCTTCCAAAGTGGACAATGGTGGGCTCACGTCTGCGACAACGTTTGAACTCGTTGAGACATGTGCCGAGGTGTCAGCTGTCACAGTTGATGGCCTCTTCGACACGGTTGGCACCGCCATCTCGTGTGGTGTATCACTACGCTCGTATAAGTCAGTGGAGTGAATTTCAGGCTCTGCGATGATGGGAGCGATGACGGGCACAGCCAAGCACGCTTGCGCTTCGTCGCGCCATGATTTGAAGTCTATGTCTTCAAGAAAGGGAGTTCTAGTGGGTGCCTCGACTGGTTTCGAGGTTCGTCGTCGAGGTTTGTGTGGTAGTGGACGGTTGTAGTTGTTGGTTGGATTCTGGACGTGCATTTCCATCGCGTCGGCGACACGCCGCACCTTTCGGTCGGCAATTTGGGCAGACGTGAGCACCAGCTTGGCTCGATGTGCTTCTGCAAACAGCTGCGTGTACGGAGATGTTTCTACACACGAATGCATGAGCAACTACCTCGATCGTAGCAACATTGAACCTTTCAGAGTGCCGACCTTGGCGTTCAATGACACTGTCGCAGCGGATGGGCCATGCTGGGGGGCATCGCCAACCAGCCATCGAAACTCCGCCAACAAGTCAATACTCACCGGCTCAGGCCACTCAAGCTTATCCACGACGCGCATTGTCGGCGGTGGCAGTTACACCAAGAGTTTCGCCAGTTTATAACGTTTCATATGACTTGATTGCCAACCTGGCAATGTGTCTGTATCACCATGTGCCTATGAATTGAAGCAGCTGATGCAGTCAGATCTTCGACAATAGCAGTACAATATTATGGTTGGTTCGTCCAAGCTTATTCTACTGGTACGACGGTCTTGTATATACACAACTGGTAGTATTTTTCCAATCCATTCACATCTGATGCGAGTGACCACAATTCCCGCACATGGGCGAATACGACCTGGCCCTGAACTTTTCACACGGACATCCTGGCGACATGCACGACGCCACCCTTGGCTTTTGCGCTTCCTCGCGATAGTCTTCGCAAAATTGCATGGCATCCCCGATGGCTTCATAGAGACCTTGGGCCGCGCGAGGTGGAGGCACAACTCCAGTCAAGATCTCGGACGGGGTGACGTGGCGTCCGTAGAACGCTCGGTTGGCATCTGCGCGGCAATTGATGACTGCGCCATGGAGAGAAATGCCGGCAAAGAGGCCTCGGCTATGACTGTAGCTGTAGTTGACGCCAAGCCCGCTTCCTTTGCTCATGGCGGCTTGGGCGACGGCAGATCGGCCGTACGGACCGACGGTCATGTCCAGCCCTGCACCGAGCGTGATTTGCGTCTGGAAAAAGACTGAAACTGCCTGGGCCGACGAGAGGATGAGTAGGATCTGGACGAGCTCGCCGCCGCCTTCCAAGCCCCCTCCGAGTCCCGCAGTGCCTATGGCCGACGGTGCTGACCACGAATTGTCCGCCAGTCGCGTGACCACGATGCCCGAGCCCATTTTGGCAGTGACCAGCAGCCCCGCTTTGACCACCGTGAGGAATGCCAAGCCCTGCGCTCGCTCTAGGAAAGCGGCCGGGATTCTCTTTTCCACGGGCGACGTGACGAAGAACTGCCGGAGGATGTCTCTGGCGGCGTCGCATTCGTCGGCGATGGTCTGCCTCATGGGGAGAGACTTGAACCAGCCTCGGGAGGTTGGAGAGGACGGCTGCGTGTCTTTGTGGCAGTTGGCATAGGTGGTTTCGAGCCGAGACTGCAGCGGTTGCAAGATGGGGGCGCACAGCGTGCACACGCGCTGGGGCACGGCGACGTCGTACCCCTTGGCGTCTTCGTGCTGGTGGCCAGGAGGGATCAACATGTGCGCGGGGGAACAGGATTGGCAGGCGGCTTTGCCGCACTTGCGGCAGTGATGACGACGATTCCGCATGTCAAATGGAGTTGAGCACACCTGGCAAGCAGCATTCTTGCCGTAAATGCTCGGGCCGGACCATTTGAACGACGACTTGATGCTGCCCGTACTTGCGCTTCGTTCAGTCGGCGGCACATCGGCAGGTGACCATGACGGACGAGAATCTATGGGAGCATTGGACGATAGGCGCTCCGAGGTGGATGCGATAGTAGACGGACGGGACTTGGGGGCTTTAGATTTGGCGTGGTCGTGATAAACCGCCATGAGTTCAGCTCGTTTGTCGTCGTCTGGGATCAATCGAACGAGCTGTGGCATCACCGTGTCCATCATGAAGTCGCCTAAGTATACGCGAAGGTTGGCTTCGAATGCTGGGGCGGAAATAGTCCCGGCACCGTACTGCTTGCAGTCCTTCTTGAAGGCCTTCACAGTTTTATCTGCATGCTCCCCGAAGTGGGTGCCTCGGACTGTGGCAACCACTCGCATGTAGATGGACGTAGCTTCGTCGCCTACGGCCACCTCTGGAACTTCGACTGACCCCGTCCGCTTCTTGTTCGATTTTGGGGAGGGAGGCGGAAGTTGCGCAGGTGGGGCATGGTAGGACGACGATGCAACTACTGTTGGGATGTCATTGGATGACGCCACGGCTGCCACACCGCATTGAGAACAGAACCGACGGCCATGGAGCGGTGCGCCGCATTCGCGGCAGAATTTCGCCATCCGTTCCAAAAGTCGTGACACATCCGGATAATGATATGATATTTGACCACATACAACGATCCGGTTAAGCTTACTAGTAGTGCCAAGATACGTCCTTGACAGAACGCCATGAAGGTACGAAGGCGCAGCGCCGTTGGTCCAGAAGGCAAGGTGTTGACGGCATTTTATGTAACTATGCCCTTGGTAGAACTTGTTTTCGTTCGGTACACCGGCAGAGCTGGCCATCAACTTCACCGGAGAAGATTCACGCCGAAAGGAAGGCGACTTGTTGATCTACGCGCCGACGGACGACATTAGCGGCACCTTGCGCTTGACCGCCAAGAAATTGGACCATGGCGGGATCAAAGTGGAGCTAATAGGGGTGATTCAAACCACTGTAGACAAAAGCTCTCAGTTTGAATTCACGGCATCTGTGCGTGCCTTGTTGCAGTCGGACACGCTGGACGGCACCGAGGTACACCCAGCCTTCGTCCGTCGCATTGTCCTTACCGTGGTCCAGGAACTTCCCTTTGCCTTTGTGAACGTGGACAAGCCACACGAATCGTACTATGGCAAGACCGTCAAGTTGCGGTACTTTGTCCGCGCCACGGTCCTTCGCAGTTACGCCCCCAATTTGACCAAGGAGCAAGACTTCCTCGTCCACTCGCCCGAAGTCACCCCGGAGCTCAACAGCACGATCAAGATGGAGGTGGGCATCGAAGACTGTCTGCACATCGAGTTCGAGTACAACAAGTCTAAGTACGCACGATGTTTCATGTATGTCCATATACCTGGAAGAGTTCATCCGTGCGTAGATACCATCTCGACGACGTCGTGGTGGGCAAAGTATACTTCTTGCTCGTGCGCATCAAGATCAAACACATGGAGCTCGCCATCGTTCGTCGGGAAGCGTCGGGATCTGGACTCGACAAGCTCACGGATACGGAGACCGTCACCAAGTTTGAAATCATGGATGGCGCGCCGGTCAAAGGTATTCACTCCTCCATGTAGCCTCTGGCATATTGCAGTTGCATTGACCACGATCTAGGCGAATCCATCCCCGTGCGGCTGTTTCTTGGAGGCGTCGGCCTCACGCCCACGTTCAAGAACGTCAACAATAAGTTTTCGGTCAAGTACTTCCTCAACCTCGTCCTCGTCGACGAAGAGGACCGCCGGTACTTTAAGCAGCAAGAGATCACATTGTGGCGCAAGCAAGTGTAATGTTAAAAACTGTTCACTCATGCATACCAAAGTGCAAATTGTGTACTGGCTTCACACGCTGCTACTACTCCTCTGCCGCGGTTTCACTCGTTTCTTTGGGTCCACTGATTTGGCTTTCGGTTGCAGCTACACTCACATCATGGGTCTCGTGGATGGACGAGATGGCCAACACCGCCGGATGCGGTTGGCCGGCCACCAAATACTTCAGCACGGATGCGTTCCGGGAGGCACGAAACCCATCGGACGCCAACCGTTGCATCCACTCCTGCGTCTTGCTGCCGACTACTAGCGGGGGACAAGCATCTTCCTGCTGCCTCCCCACGAGCGCCGCCAACGACCGAGCGCTTGACTGAAACTCGGCGTATTCCACAACCCCGGGGAGTCCGGCGACGACGAGGCGGCGTGTCGGTGCAACTCGGGCCACGAGCGCCTGCATGGACAACGGACCCGTGTCGAAGGCTCGGTGGACCCACTCGTGCGGAGTCGGAAGCGTCATGCCGTCAGACTTGGTGCGGCACAGAAACCGCGACAAGCACCCGGGCGTCAAGTCGTCGACGCAAAGCCAGTCTGCGACAGCGTCCGCCCCAGCATATGCCACGTGCATCACGATGCCATCGTACGTTTCGACGCTCGCTGGATCAGACGTCGGCAATGGCTCCACGGCCACGACGGTGGCCATCGCCACTACCTCGATGCTGTCAAAACACTTGTATACGGTCGAAATCGGTTGTACATACCTGCTTTGATTTTCGATTTCTTGGTAGTGTCGTCTTCGTCGCCTTCCTCGTCGCATTCATCGTCATCGTCGTCATCGTCGTCACCATTGTCACCACCTCCGTCGTCACCAAACGCCTCGGCCGATGACGCAGCCGCGGGTGCGGATGTTGAGGGAGACCCGCGTCCTCCTTCGTCATCGTCGCCCCCGCCGCCGTCCAACGGCGAGTCGCCAACGCACCAGTCGAACGGCACGTAGAGCTTGACGAGGTTTCGCGCGGCTTTGCTGCGTAGCATTTCCATGACCCGATGACTCATCGCCGGCTCGACTTCAAAGCCAAGGACGCCCGCTACAGTAGCTCGGGCTTCTTTGGGGAGGTGGAAGTACCGACAAATCGACAAGGCGACTCCGCCACAGAAGTACACTTCATCTGCCACGTCCATGATCCCGTCGAGCAGCCACAACTTGTCGGAAAACGTTCGACCGCCCAGCACGACACGACACGATCCTCCGTCGGAGTGGTGCCGAAGCACCAAGTCCTGGTGTGGCTGCATGAATCGACCCACGCGGGCACACTCGTCGCCCAGGCGCGGGCCCAGCAGCTGACGACCAGGACGCAGCGCGCCAACGGTGGCCCATTCATCTTCCGAACCAAACGTGTCGCTCACGACAACGTCAGCCCATCCGCTCAAGGCGTCGGACACGGCGTCTGCATACGTGCCGGTCCACACCGCGTGACGCCGCGCCTCGGACGACTCGTACGAAAGAGCATGGAGATTCGACGCCCGTCGCGCGGACACGACGGCGGTGGTGGCGTGGACAACACCCTTGGGAGACCCGTCGTCATCTTTGTCCTTCTTGGGACCAGCAGTCTTTTTCTTGTCCTTCTTTCCATCGTCTTTCGCTGGCTTGTCGTCGACGGGGGGTGCCGCCTCGACGGGTAGTTCCGGTGGGGGTGGGTGGTGGAGCAACGGAAGTGCCTCGGCGAGGTGAAACTGGAACACCAGCGAAGGTTTGCGGGGCGAGCCCTCCTTTGGCACGTCCGTGGACAGCGCGCTCTCGTCAAGGGGTAGGGTGGTGCCAGGGTCCCCTTTGTCCAATGCGTGGTTTGAAGGTCGACTCAACGCCATCATAGCCTCCACAGTCGGTTCAAAATGCACCAACTGGCCGCACACAGTTTCGAGTTTGTGGGCGACGTGAGCCATCGACGGCACTGGCGTCACCGGGGACAGCAGCGGCGGCGACTTTTTCTTGGCCTTGCCACGTCGTGGAGTGGTCATATTGCTGATCAAGAGGACTTGGATCGTCGTAGTCGGGTTGCGGGCACTCGACGCCGCCGCTTCAAAGCGACTTGTGTAGGTGTCGATAAGTGTTTGGAGGATCGTCGCAACGTGCGCAATTTTAGACGGCGTGAACGACTCAATGCCGTCCATCCATTTCCATTCGCTAGGGACAGGGGTGATGGTTCCGCCATCGCCGTTTGGAGGTGGCGCAACGTTCAACTGGCGTGGACCCAACACAAAGCAATGGGACACGTCCAGGTCCACGTGTAGCACCACGTTTGTGCTGGCTACATGCGACGAGGGGCTTGGGAGCAGACCCGAGGGGAACGTCAGCTTGTCTGGAATCCACACATGTTTGCGTTGAACGTGCGCGATGGCCAAGTTTTTTTCTGCTTCAAACACTGACTCGACACTGGCGTCCACGGCCTGCCGGATAAATGCCGATGCCGCCATGCAGAGAGCGTCGTGGACATCTGGCACGTCCTCGTCGAGCTGGAATATGCCCCCCATGACGGGGATTTCGCTGCATAGGAACGCAAGGTTGGCCGCCAATTTGTCGCGCAAGAGATCAGACGAGTGGGGGCGGAACAGCGCCAAGTGCCGCAGTTCTTCGTAGGCCAGTCTAAACGACGGCTGGAACACGGTTTTCTTTGCGCGGGGCGTCACATCGCTGGTGTCCCCGTCGTCGTCCCCAGACTCGTCGTTGTTGTCTGGCTCGTCTTCGTCACCTTCGTCATCCGAGGCCTCTTTCCGGGGCGTAAGGGCCTTGAAGTTTGCTTTGGCGATTTCGTCGGCAGATGTGGCTGCGGTCAAGAGCGTGGGTAGCAGGCCATCCCACACCGGAATGATTCCTTCTGGTGGTATGTCATGGGACTCCTCTTGGCAGGGCGACTTGTCGTGTGGGGGATTAATAGCCCCTCCCCCGTCGACTTGCACGAGTTTGGCTTGCTTGTCGGCCAAAATCAGGTTTTGGGCATGGTCATAAAGGGCCACCATCGCGCCGTACAGCTACGCTATGATTATTCCCTAGCATACGATGTACAATTCGGTATACCTCGGAGGAATAGTGTACGCCAAGTTGACAATTCGCGGCTTCGAAGGTATCCCGCTTGCGCTCGTCATCTTCGTTCCGTAGTAGCACCGTCGGGTACTCGACGTTGGCGAGAATGTCTCTCAAGAGACTCTCGAGCATGTACGACGTGCTGCGAGTGTCCACGTCGGCCATAATGGCCTTCCGGGCTTTGAACGGTGCGCGATGGTCCACTGCTGCGCAAGACATGTGAATCGTGCGCTCGACGGCATACCGCGGGTCGTTGTTGTGCTCGGCCAAGTACGGGTCGATTGTGAGCTTCCACATCTCTAAAAACAGGCCCGGGGTCGCCGACGAAAACCCAAACGTGAACCGCGACGTCATATGCGGCGCCAGAACGCCTGTATACCATTGCATTGATTGTGCAGGGGATGGATGGTATTGCGTACCCGTGAGTTGGGACACAAATGTTCGAGGTCGGCCGGTGTCAACAGCAAAGTCCCGATGCGACAGAGGATACTGGCTCCATGTGAAGTGCATGGCGAGGGGCCCTGGGTTGCGCACGAGCACGTCCTGGGTGTGCACTGCGCCAATCTTGGCATGGAACGACACGTGCATCAACAGGTCATCGACCGCATCCCCCGTCGTGGGGTGGACGAATTGAAAGCACGGACCGTCGCGGTAGTTGGTTGGAACGTCATGGTTGCTGCGACTCGACAAGGCACCACTGGGGCGGGTGTCGTCGGCGCGGCGCTCGCGTTCCGTCGACTGTTGCGCTTGTTCGTCTTGCAGCAAGTGGTCGTAGTGCTGCTGTGAGCTCCTGGCGGCCCATTCAAACAATTCCGTGGACTCGACCTTGAGGCCGTCGCTACAAAGTCACTGTGTGGATGTGCAGTTTGCACGATTAGAATCGTTATTACCAGTGGTCCGAGTCGATGTGATGGGGCTGTATGTGCTGGATGTTGCGTCGCAGCTGCCGTTTCCTGGCCAGGAGCGCTTCGTTGAACTTGCCTTGATGGCGTTCGTTGGGTTTCGCCTTATCTTGTCGATTCTCCATCGGGCTAGCGCAACCGATAAACGGTCCTTCCTGTGTACTTCTATGAGGAGGCATGTTGATGTCGTACCGGCGAATGGTTTCCGTGATCGGGTTCTTGTCTTCTCGCACGGGGCAAAAGAGGCCGCTGAACACATTCCCCACCGGTACAAACCGCGTGCCTTCGTCCCGAAGACTCACCGACCAGTAGTCGCTACGGCCATGTTTAACAAACTTCCGTCTCATTGAAATGGAGCAAATAGTTCCGAAGCAGCTCCATGCCGTCGTTTTTGACGTACTTGCCGTGCTTTTCTTCCTGCGGCGTGGCTTTGTTGATGAGGTCGTACTCCTCCATTTGCTGGCGGTACTCGGATGCTTTAACCATGACGAGGTCGGTTTCGGGCTTGTTGAGTTTCTTGGACATTTTCGCTCGAAACTTTTCCCATTCCCTAAGCATAGCTTGTCAACGTATGGTCGTGTGACGTGATGTACCGATTGCGCGTCTCCCAGATCAGCAGAACGTTCTTCTCCCTTTCCATCGAGATGCGCTCGTGGATGGGCATCGCTCGAAGCATCTTCTTGTACTCTTTCAGGGCTTGCTTTGAGTTGTTTCCAGGAGAAGACCCAACGTTGGGAGGTTGAGTTGCTTGAGATTCCGGTGGCAGCGCAGGAAGGTGTGGCGAGTCCAACGACATCCGAGGCAACGTTGTGGTGCCGATGGTATCGCTGGCCGTCATGTTACGTGTGGATTGCCCTTTTGTCATGAAACGACTTGCCACGCGTTTGAGTGATCGAAGGCTAGGGTTCTTTCCGCCGGGGGACTTCAGAGCACTGTTGGACGTGGTTGCTACCGACTGCAAGTACTCGTCAAACTGCTCGACGTCGTCCTGGGTGCCAAGTGCGGCGTGCGTCATGATCTTGCCATTGTTATCGCGGCGAATCTGCTTGTTCAAAACCATCTTCACTTCGCCCTTGGACATGCTGGGTTTCCCCAGTGGTAGGAGCGAGTCATTGGCACCGCTCAAGTCCAACGTTGGCGTCGACGGGACCGATCGAGCCACCGTGAACACCTTCTTCTTCTTCGGCGATGGCGTCCCGGGCTCTTTCTCGATGCGATCCCTCGTCGGGGATGACGACGCAATGGACCTGCCGCTCTTGTTTGCTTGCATACCGTCCCTGCCAGTTACGTTGTCGGCTCAACCATGCACCATTGGGTTGTTTTCAACCGCGACCTTTCGAGTTTCAATTCCAAGGGCTGCTACGAATAACACGTACTTGTAGACCTCATACTGATATCAATAAGAACCAACTTTCAATCGTGTTTAAACTGACTGACCTTTACGTTACTGAAAGAACGTTCATAAAATAGTTGCAGCGTATATATTCAGCACCCTGACTACAAATAACGAAATCCCGTTTTTCGAAAAAGGCGCCTTTTCGTGAGTTATCCAATTTGAAACGTGAGACCAACTTGATGGGAGTCTGTTTCCAGCTGCAGGAGGTTCACGCGACCAGAGAGCGCCACTTGGAGGAATGGTGAGAGGCGGCACCGGTACGCCACGCCGACAATGCCTTCGCTGTCGAGCGACCCAAAGAGGCTCTCTCGCGTATTGATCTCTTTGTGGCATTGCCCTTTCAGCGTCACGGTACGACGTTTTCGCTGGTACTCGACTTCGCTTCCAACGCCGAAGTCAAAGGCAACCTTCTGTCGTACATGGCACCGCCAGACGTTGCCAAGGTCCCGTACACTCGCCACGGCCACGACGTCCGATGACACGTACCGAGCGAGGGCGACCAGCTTTTCCACCTTTTGTTGGACTGTTCGAGTTTCCATGTACTCAACTCCGGTGTTGAATCGACCCCCCACGCCAACACAGAATGACGGTGTGCCAGCCACGAGACCAAGGTCTACGGAAGGTCCGTTCACCACGTCGACGCCCACTTCGACGCTACTTTGCAACGATGGGAGGAACGGAACTGGAACAGTGCCTTTAAATCCAACCCTTGCATTCGGGGCGATGCCCACTGCTTTCTGCCCACATTCCAGTGCCGAGAGCGTAAACGTGCCGACGGACGGCACATCCATCTCGGCACGAAGGGACACGCGATGTTGGCTATGTAGAGAGAAAGCTCCACGCACCGCAGAGGTGGGGCTTTTCACCGCGATGCGTTGGCTCAGGGACACAGCCAAGTTGGAGTTCTGGCTCATCGACGAATGGAGCTCAAACGCCTCAGATGGACTTCGTAGATGCAGGAACAGGCCGGAGAGCGCCGGCTGTGGAAACAGCGCCGACTTCTTCGACAACACATCTGTGCTTGATGGAATCTCTGCCCAAGGGACTGCTGGAAGTTGTGACACATCCAGCAGGTCACTCAGGAAGACTTGTGCGTCCATGATGTAGCGCCACCACCGCAATCACAGTGGACACTTTTCACTCTATATTAATATACAAATATTCATATTCTGCATACCCCATTACAATATACACTACATATTTTAAAGTATTTTCAACAAATCTGAAACTGGTGCAGTTCATTCTGAGGTCTACAAATAACGAGAATTTTCTGGCACAACACTCGATCTTATTCGTGAGTCCCATTACAGTTTTCATTTGGCCGCACCCGCCGCCGCCGCCCCTCACAATCAAGATGGACTTGAACGCGCAAATGGAAGAAATCAGCCGTGAAAAGGAGCGTGTGGCCCGCATTGCTCGTCTGGCTGAAGAAAAGTATGCCATAAAGCAAAAGGAGCTGGAAGAAGAAGCAAAGAAACCAAAGTTCATGACACAAAAGGAACGCGAAGCGGCCGCGTTGGCACGACTACAGCAACGGGCCAAGACAGGTGCCGCCACGACCACGTCAAGAGCATCGTCGTCAGTGGCGTCCAAGTTCTCCAAGTTGAACGACTCGTCGTTTGATCGCCATCGACAGGCTCAACGCAAGGACAGCAACAACACATCGACACCAACCATCACCCGCGAGCAGGAGAAGGAACTCGCGGCGCTGAAAGACCATTACTTGGGGAAGAAAGTGAACAAGAAGAAGGTGCTCAAGGCGAGCGAAAAGTTCTCAAAGAACTTTCAGTTCGACTGGGAACCAACCGAGGACACGTCTGGGGAATTGAATCCCCTGTACAAACGTCGCGACGTCAACCTCCTGTTTGGCCGAGGGTACATGGCCGGCGTGGACATGCGCGAGCAGCGCAAGAAGAACAACTTTGTCACAGAATTGGCGCGGAAGCGGCAGCTCGAGCAGAAGACCGCGGACGAACAAGCCGGCGTCTTGACGGCCGACCAGATCGCCAAGCGACAGCGGGACCGCGAGCGCGAGCTGCGCAAGATGCAGGAGTGGGAAGCCAACCGCGAACGAGAAATCGACACGATCGAGGCCGAGCGGGTGCTACATTGGAGCGACAAGTCGCTCGAGAATATGACCGACCGCGACTGGCGCATCTTTCGAGAGGACTTTGATATCATTCTGCGCGGCGGAAAGGCACCGATCCCTCTGCGCAAGTGGTCGGAAGCGACGTTCCCCGAGTCGGTCATGGACGCGGTCAAGCTCATGGGATTCGAAAAGCCGTCGCCGATTCAAATGCAAAGCATCCCCATCGGCATGCAACGGCGCGACTGCATTGGCATTGCCGAAACGGGCAGCGGCAAGACGGCGGCATTTTTGATTCCGATCATTTGCTACGTGAGCTCGGTGCCCGTGTCGATGGTGACCCGAACGCCGGACCAGGGCCCCCTGGCGCTCGTGATGGCACCGACGCGAGAGCTGGCGCTGCAGATCGAAGCAGAGGCCAAACGGCTGTCCCAACTGACCAAAGTCGGCGAAGGCGACACCGAACATATCATCAAGACGCTGTCCGTCGTGGGGGGGCAGAGCATCGAAGACCAGGGGTTCAAGCTCCGCGAAGGTATTGACATTCTGATCGGCACGCCTGGCCGGCTCATGGATTGCATGCAGAGTCACTACTTGGTGCTCAATCAGTGCAACTACGTCGTGCTGGATGAAGCGGATCGCATGATCGAAGAAGGGTTCGAAGACCAGGTCACGGGGATCTTGGACAACATGGGCGGGCTGCTCAAGTCAGAAAACGAGGCCGAGCTCGAGGCCCAGCTGAGCACGGCCGACAACGAGTTCAAGTTCCGCGTGACGATGATGTTTAGCGCGACGATGCCCAACGTCGTGGAGAAGCTGGCGAAAACGTACCTGCGGCACCCGGCGATCATCAAGATTGGAGACGAAAACTCGGGCAAGAACAAACGCATTGACCAGCAAGTGCACTTTTTGAGCGCGGGCAAGAAGCTCGCGAAACTGTACGACACGGTGCGGGAGATTCTGCGCAACGCCAAGACCAAGGACACGGCCAAGATCATCATCTTCGTCAACGAGAAGAAGGGGTGCGACCTTGTGGCCCGCGCCGTGGGCAAGGAAGGGTTCTACGCGACCATCTTGCACGGCGGCAAGTCCCAGGACCAGCGCGACGAAAGCCTCATGGGGTTCCGCGACGGCACGTATGACATCCTCGTGGCCACCGACGTGGCTGGCCGAGGGCTCGATATCCCCGATGTCACGCACGTCATCAACTACGACGTGCCCAAGGAGATTGAAAAGTACTGCCATCGCATCGGACGGACGGGGCGAGCCGGCAAGGAAGGCGTGGCGATTTCGTTCCTCACTGACCACGACGAAGACATCATGTACGACCTAAAGACGTACTTGGAAGCCACCGACATGCCCGTGCCGCCGCAGTTGGCGAGCCATCCGATGGCCAAAGCCGCCGCTGGTGCGCGAGACGACAAGGGCAACATCATTTCGAAATCCAAGCGCGACACGGTGATTTATTCCGGTTGAGACGAAACCAAGGATATCATAAAAATCTCTCTCACATCCATATTATTTGACGGGCTTCTTGGACAGTAATAACGATGATAAATCTATCTCCGACATCGTGTCGAGATGTTTTGTGAAAAGAGGTAACGCTACTATGGAATGACTTTGCACGGGTGCTACATGGGGTTGCATACGTCCAAGCGCAGGACCGACCCTTGCACGGGTTTGGATTGCACGCGAATGCCACGTCGGCACTCGCGCAGCGTTGGCACGACGAGCCGCAGGAACCCTTCCATCACCATTGGCTGCAGACACGTCAGTTCCAACGGCGGCAACGCGTCAGTACAGTCGTCTGGATTCAACGCCAACGCTAGCCACCGCGTGAGGTCGCCGATCTTGTCCGCGTCGCCTTTGGCCCAGTCGTCCATGAGTCGTTTCCACGGGAGAGATCCAAGCGAGTACGGCAATGGGTCGTCCAAGTGGTCGATGGCGGTCCAGTCTGGCGAGTCGTGCGCTTGCATCGCAGCCAACAAATTGGAGTGTACGTCGCTCAGGTGTCGTCGGATCGTAGCTTGAGTGGTTGCCACCAGCACCACGGGCGGGGCTTTCCCTCCCACAGACGGAACTTTCCGGTCGAACGCGGTATGGACCACTCGCATGAGGGATACGAGCGATACTTCCACGGCCTCGATTGCGTCTTGGTATCGCAACGTTGAAGGAGCCGGCGGAATAACGTCCCGTTTTTGTCCCATCGAGGCAGTGTCAATGGATAACATCACTGGACTTTGAAGCTTCAGAGGCTGCATGAGACGACGGGGTCCAGCGGATGGGGTGACCTCCTGTTCGCGTCTCCCCAATCGAGGTTTATCCTCGTGGTAGTCGTCGCCGCCGGATCGTTTCATAGACACAGCAGATGACTGCTGGTTCGAGTTGGAGGATCGGCTTTGGTCTCCCAGTTGACGCTCCTTGCGACTCTCGAGCCCATCCAAGGCCAGCATGCGCCTTTCCAGCACGTCCATCTTCTTGCGCAGCGCGTCTTGCTGGAGCTCCAGCACCTTGGCTTTGCGCTGGTACCGCGCCAGCAGGTGCTTCCTCCACCATCGCTGCAGGAGGATCAGACCCATGTCCGAAACGAGAATGTTGAAGCATGCGGTCGGCACAGTTTGTAACCTCTCAAGTGGCCATTCTGCCAACGTGAACTGCATGCGTGTCAAATGCCCCATCCGACGTCTGTGATTGGTCCAATTGAAAACCGACATCCAGGTCCTGTACTGTACATTTGTAGGGAAATAAAAAGCCGCTGCAAATATGTGTCACTGGACATCGTCGAGGTGTTTGATTGGCTACATTATCCGGATTTTTTACTGGCGCGGCGATGTCAGCCACATTTTTGCGCACTTTGCGATCATGCGATTCCTCCACGCACTTCGACGGCCGTCGATCTTGACGCAGCATGTCCGAGCGTTCTCGCTCGCTGGTCCTGGTCAGAAGGCGGCAACAGCGCCGTTGAACATGGAGCTCTTTGACAAGTACCCGCACCCCAAGGGGTACATGAACAACTTGCGCAACATTGGGATTTCCGCCCACATTGACTCGGGCAAAACGACGTTGACCGAACGCATCTTGTTTTACACGGGACGCATCAACGCCATCCACGATGTGCGTGGGAAGGACGGCGTTGGCGCCAAGATGGACTCGATGGAGTTGGAGCGCGAAAAGGGCATCACGATTCAAAGCGCCGCCACGTACGCGCAATGGAAGGACTCGAACATCAACATCATCGACACGCCCGGGCACGTGGACTTTACGATTGAAGTCGAACGGGCGCTGCGAGTGTTGGATGGTGGTATCTTGGTGCTGTGCGGTGTCTCGGGCGTGCAGTCGCAGTCGCTGACAGTGGACAAGCAGATGAAGCGCTACGGCGTGCCGCGCATTGCGTTCATCAACAAGCTAGATCGCATGGGCGCCAACCCGTGGAAAGTGATCAACGATCTGCGCAAGCAGCTCAAGCTGAACGCGGCGGCAGTCCAAGTCCCCATCGGTATCGAAGACCACTTGGAAGGCGTGGTGGATCTCGTGCGCTTGCAAGTGTACCGCAACGACGGGCCCAGCGGCGAAACCATCTTGACGTCGTCCGACATTCCCCAAGAGCTCAAGGAACTGGTGGCTGCCAAGCGTTTGGAAATGATTGAACGGCTCGCCGACGTGGACGACGAGATCGGCGAACTGTTCTTGATGGAGGAGGAGCCGACGGCGGACCAGCTCGTCACGGCCATCCGCCGCGCGACCATCGCGCACAAGTTTGTGCCCGTGTTCATGGGCTCGGCGTTCAAAGTATGGATGCATGTGTCGTTTGAGTGAGCGTTGCTGTTGCTGACGTTGTCGTGTATAGAACAAGGGCGTGCAACCCATGCTCGACGGCGTGATCGACTACTTGCCGGCGCCGGCCGAAGCCCAAAACATTGCGCTGGACCAAGGCAAGAACGAAGAGCCCGTGCTCGTGCCGTGCTCGCCGGACGCGCCGCTGTTGGCGCTGGCTTTCAAGCTCGAAGAAGGCCGGTTCGGGCAACTCAGTTACATGCGCATCTACTCTGGCACACTCAAGCGCGGCGGGTTCATCTACAACATGTCCAACATGAAGCGCATCAAGGTACCGCGCCTCGTGAAAATGCACTCGAACGAAATGCAAGACGTCGACGAAGTGACCGCGGGTGAGGTGGTGGCCATGTTTGGCGTCGACTGTGCCTCCATGGACACGTTCAGCGACTCGAACGCGACCAAGATGACCATGACCAGTCTGCACGTGCCAGAACCCGTCATGTCGCTGGCCATCATCCCCAACAACAAGCAAAACTTGAACAACTTTTCCAAGTCGCTCAACCGATTCCAGCGCGAAGACCCGACGTTCCGCGTGAGCGTCGACGAAGACTCCAAGCAGACCATCATCAGCGGCATGGGCGAGCTCCATTTGCAGATTTACATTGAACGCATGAAGCGCGAGTACAATGTCGAAGTCGAAAGCGGCGCGCCCCAAGTCAACTTTCGCGAGACAATCAAGGAAAAAGCCACGTTCAACTACCTCCACAAAAAACAGAGCGGCGGGTCGGGCCAGTACGCTCGTGTCACGGGGTACTGCGAGCCCATTTCGCAAGAAGAGCTCGACGAAGGCGAGGCGCCGATTCAGTTTGTCAACGATATCATCGGGTACGAACTCGTCATATGTTATGTCAAATGTGGACTTTTGTGCTGCTGATTATCGCCAAATCTATCGATTGAATCTATGAATGTTGGGTGTCCTGTGGTCACACTAATTGGAGTCATACACTAATTCGACGTTGATGATAGTTTTCTGCAATCTGATTGGCTACATCCTTCTGCACGTTTATTCTCCTTGTCGCTTCAGTTTAGAAAAATCACAACAATATATATATATATATATATAAACATGGGCTACGACATATATATACATGGGCTACGACGACGACGATGATGATTGCTGATGCTGCTGCATAGGAATGCCATCCCGCCAGAGTACATCATGGCATGTGAAAAGGGCGTGGGCGACGCCGTGCAAAAGGGCTGGCTGCTGGGCCACCCCATTACTCGCTTGCGCGTGGTCATCACCGACGGCCAAGCGCATGCCGTGGACTCGTCCGAGCTGGCATTCCGAACGGCCATGGTGCAGGCCATCCGCAGTGCGTTCGCCAAGGGGTCGCCAAGTGTGCTGGAGCCCATGATGACGGTCGAGGTGGACATCCCGAACGAGTACCAGGGCGGGATCATCGCCGAAATCAACCGCCGTCGCGGCATGATTCAATCGAGCGAGGCGGACGACGTGTCCACGGTCGTGCGCGCCGACGTGCCGCTGCAAAACATGTTTGGGTTTTCCACGGACCTGCGATCGTCCACCCAGGGTAAGGGCGAGTTCACGATGGAGTACAAGACCCACGACTTTGTGGCCCGGGATGCCCAGGAGAAGCTCGTCGCCGAGTATCAAAAGGCCCTCGAAGCCAAAAAGAAATAGACGGACACCATATATAGTGTGAAATAGAAACCAACCAAGCCGAGTTGAAACACTCTGTCACATATTTTTACGTCGGATCACGAACGACGCAAGGGTTGGAGTAGCAAACCACATTCGTTTCCAGAACAAACAACTACTTTACTAGTTTGTTACTAGTATACTACTGGTACAATAATACTCTCGGATTCCTTTCACACAAGAGAGATGGAACGCTGGCCTGTTCAGTCGTTCTAATCCGAGTAGTTGGGGGGAGGGTCCCGCCCGCCGCCCCACGGTTGTTCGCTGAACGATACTGACTGCGTAAATGACACACGCTTGCGCTTCCGCTGCGCATATACGATCCAGAGACATGTCAGGACAATCATGCGGATATACTTCGTACCATGGTCGTGGAAATAGTTCTAGCTCGCATGCGCACGTCTTGGTGGCCTACGGACGAGCCCCAGCTCAAGTGGAAAAACAGCGCTTCGGTCAGATAATGCTCGGGAATGACGCTGGCGGCCACGAGGGGTTTCACTTTGCAGTACAGTTCTCGCACGCTCATGGACGGATACCGAATCAGTGGGACGACGTCGGCGAGGACGAGCTGCAGCCCATGGACGCCGGAAGAAACGTTGTCCAGTCGCGCTTCGCCCCAGGCAATGACAGCATCGAGCAAGGCGGATTCACGGATCTACCGCCAAATGAATAAACGACAGCAATGCACGCGTCGACGATGGTCTTACTTGGAGGTCGTCCTGGGCAATTAGCTCGCACAGCAACTTCTCAGGCAGCGGCTCGATCAGTTGGGGCTTGAACACGTGGGCAGCATGTTGCAAGATAAAGTTCTTGCACAACTCACCGAGGCATTGAAGTTCGTACATTTCAGCAGCTGTCAGCGTTTGCACGACGGTGTCGGTGGACAGGTCCACGTTGCCCGAGTAGATGTACTTCAAGAGCTGCGACATCGTGGCACTGGTTACATCGTTCAGAGTCACGTCCGTCTGTGAACTTTCTCGCATGTGACCTGTCAGCATCGCATTCAGCGGCTTGGAGCTCATACCCAGCATGAACCGGTGCGCGTGGAACCGAGATCCGCCGACACAGAGCACGACATCCCAGCAAGTTCCCGGCGCTGGCGATTCAAAGTCAAATCGAGCCAGACGTCGAGACAAGTCGCGGTGGTTGCGGAACGTTTCATACACGGTCGCTGACGTAGAACCATACACCACGCTGCTGCCGCCGCTGCCGTTGTCGGAGGTCGGTTTGCGTTCCATAACGAATTCTGATTGGCCAGAAACAACACCTCGTGATCTTCACGTTCACTGTCAAACGATATTTCACTTAAAATGAGAATAATTCCCTCAATAAAACAGTTCCACTGTTCTTTTGACCCGAATTACTGTTTGAATTATCCCATCCGGATACACCATTCCGACAGTACATTTGTAGCCCTGTAACCAGGGACTCCGTCCTACCACCGGTGAGTACATCCGATGCTAAATCACCGAGGTTAACTGCATCGCTAGTGGTTAGCTATCACTAACCACTGAGATGCACTTAACCCCTAGTAAGAGGTGAGGTGGTCAAAGCATACAAAGTTCCATATAAACACTCAAATTGTAGTGTTTTCTGAGAAAAAGAACAGTGGAATAAATGCCAAGGTCTCTTGTACTACATACTAGTACAATACATGTACTACGTTGGAGAAACGTTATCTAGCACACGCCTTACAACAAGCTACGCCCCATCCTTCATGTATCGTGGGTGCTAGTACTGGTATGCATCGATCGTGCCTCGATGTCCTCATGAGGCCAAAGCGATGTGCCCTTGACATCGTTTGGGTAATTACTTTGAAGTTATTAATACTTCGAAGTATATAATTATTTCGATCTGTTCGATCTGTTCATTTGCATTTTGTATACTGATATTGGAGGCAATATTATTGTGTTCAAAGAACGTGTCGCTGTGCTGCGGGACATTCCGGATACAATCCGGAGACGCATTAAACGCACAAGATTGCGAAGATTGCTCGGTGCAGCACGTGCATCAATCATCCCCGAGCACCAAGGGCGGCACAGTCGACACCATGCGTCGTCGGAAGCTGCAGGACCTGCGTGTACTGAGCTTCAACCTCCTAGCGCCATGCTACTTTCGTCACGGTGGCCGTCTGGAAGCCACCGACTCGCGGCAATACATGGGCCGGCTAGGTGCACTTGTGTCGCCGCTCAAAGCCGAGCTCGCCAACATCATGTGTCTGCAGGAGTTCTGGTTCGACGAGACGTACATGCGGACATTTCAGTCCCACTTTCCAAACTTCAGTTGCTACGCATCCAAGCGCCCCGGACTCAAGGAAGACGGTCTTGCGATCTTTATTGACCACTCCAAGTTGATGATCCACAACTTCCGCCAACTCGATTTTGACAAGGCCGGCGAGCGCGTCGCCATGCTCATGCACTTGAGTTTTCTCCCAAACTCCCTGCCCTCGCACACCCTTTCGTTCATGGAGCGATCGTTCCTCCTCATCAACACGCATCTCACGTTTCCTCACTCGGACATCAACCGCGTCATGCGCATGAACCAAATCGAGACCATGCTGAGCGCCGTCCAGGAGTACCAGCGCAAGGAGCACCTCGAGCAATGTCCCGTGATCATGTGCGGCGACTTCAACGACATCTACGACCCTGTGCACAACCTCGTGATCAGCCACGGCTTCCAAAGCGTCTTCGCCGAAGTGCACGGCCGCGAAGCCAAGATCACCCACTGCAACCACAACAACAGCGAAGTACGTGCATCGTGCCTGTTATGTCTTAACCCTGGCGTAGGTCGGAGTCGACTTTATCTTTAGCTACAACCCACAGCCGCCGCCGCAGCCGTTGAACGACTTCGAGAAGCGCGTGATCTTACTCCCCAACGCATGCGACTTGCTGCCTCGGTCCCTGCCCGACTCGACCCGATTAAAGCGGCCCGAGTTCTTGCCCCCCAAGACCCCTTGGGAAGCCGTGCAGGTACATCATTCTACCCCTGCATGGCCAACCGGTTGAGAACAGTCGCTTAGTTTACGGACACCACCGCCCAGTCAATCCCGGACGCTGTCGACTACTGGCGCCTCGTGTCGGACCACCGGCCGCTAGTGGCCACTTTCAAAGTAGACACGAATTCGTTGTAACTTGGTGCGTTGGTGTTGTGTGTGACGCCGTGGCGTCAATGGCTCAGCACGAGGAGGATGCACATGTGTACTACATAGTCGCAAACACAAGGGGGGGTCCTTCTAGCTACTAGGGACGTTTTGGGGTATGCAGGCTTAGTGTCCGCCAGCCGTAAACAGCCTCTTTGTCGATTGGAATCGATTCAATGGAGCTGGTTGGTTCACAAAAGAGTGTCATGGCGGCTGTTATTATGGTAGTATTCGTTCGAGTGCAGCAGGAACAGTCGACTAGGAGTAGTTGCGCTGTCCAGCAAGCGATTTGTACGACCATACAAGATTTTGAATTGACATTTACAAAGACATCCGATACGACGCAATGTCCTGCAACGCATCCATGAGCAGGGCGTGCTCGGTCTCCGCCTCGGCCAACGCTTCATGGATGTACCAAGCCTTCCACCGTATGAACCCACACGAGACGAAGCAGCGCCGTAGTCCCGCAGCCACACGCAGTTGCTGCATGTGGTCGTCATCTACGGCTAGTAGTTGTTGTGGGGTTGCCGAAAGCACCTTCTTCCACCGTACAAAGCGGCGCCGCAGTTGCTGGACGTAGCACGTCTTGGTGAAAAAAGCCATGAGCCATCGCTGCTGTCGCCGGGCGTGCAGGACACTGGCCTTCCACTGCGCCCACGTCCAGTGCGCCACCGCCGCCGCCGCGTCCGTCGATTTATCTAGATCCAGTACATTGTCGGACGGGATGCCCTTGGCATGGAGCACCCACCGCCACCATGCGAACCGAACCTGCCGTCTTTGCCACGCAATGGCAATGTCTGTTGCCTTCCGAAGAACGAACCGCCACGACGCACCGGAGTGCACCGTCCAATAGTCGGCTGGTGTTTGTCGATGCAAACGCGTGTGAACGCATTGTCGCCATGCATGGAACGACAGGGCCGTCAACATTGAAGTCCGCAGGCGATACACAAAGGCACTCCACGCATCCCGACCGTGAACACGGTGCGCCCTTCGACTTGTCGAGTCGGCCCACGACCTCCATATTCGTCGGAGTTGTTGCTCTCTCTGCCTCGTCGTGGCGTCGTGCTTGTCGCGGGTGTGGAGAGACCACGCGTGCCACACTTTCCATCGAGTTGTCCGATCCTTTGACTTCGTAAGCAGCGCCATGGAAGCGGCGCGGCGGCGGCGATGGCCGCGGACATACTCTGCCCACGAAGCAAACGCGGCATGCCGCTGTCGTGTCTGTGCCACTTTGTGTCGCAGCAACTGCCCAGGACGAAGTAGAGTTCTTGTGCTGAACACGACAGCGTTCTTCCACGCCAAAAACACCGTCGGGAGTCGAAGCACCAGTCGCGATCCGTACGTTTCAATGTATCGACAGAGCGCCATGGTTTGGTCGTAACGGTGTTGTGATTTTGCCCGGCGGTTGGATCTGAGTTTGGCAGCGTGGCGCCAATTAGACACCACGAGGCCGAGAAGGCGGCGAGAGGTCGCATCGACGTCGGCTGCCACCATGTGCATGTGACGCCACGCAACAAACACACGGCGCCGAAGTGCCCGTCGCGACGCCTTTCGACCGAGGACGACTTGACGGCGGCGCCACTGCGTGTGCGCGTCCGTGAACGTTGTCCAGTGCCGCCACACGATTCGGCGAAACCATATGCATCGGTCGAGCGTCCATCGATCCACGCACTTGTGTCGTGTGGACCGGTCCTGCAAACCCCGGACAGCGGCCGTGTGCCATCGACCCCACATGTCCTTTAATCGAACGACACGTTCTGCCCGCAGGCTGGCGTTCCACTTTTGCCACGTGGTGCGCAAGTGGCGGAAGGTGCGCTTTCGATGCCACCATCGTCGCATGCAAACAAGGCGCGTCCACTCAGTCCAGACATGACGGAGACAAAAAGAAGTCATCCTGATCCTAGCCAGGGAAGTGCATCGCAAGGCACTTCGTTGAAATCGAACGACTGTGGCGTGGCATCGTAGCCTTTCGTCGCTGAGGCGCTGCTGGCTAGCTAGTGCCACCTGTTGTTGGTCGGTCTTGAGCCAACGCGCCCAGTTCGTACGGAGTCGTCTACGAATCGACAGCACAACGCACGCCCTCAACGCACGAATCACGGCGGTCCATCGCCGTTGCCATCGACACCACAAGGTCAAGACGTGACGAACCAAGCGGCTTTGGAGGGTTTTTAGATTGTGGGCGACTCGCCGACGTCTACGACTATATGATGCCCAATGACCCCACAGCGATTGCATTGTCGAGTGCTGACACTCTGCCACGTCATGGCGATGCATATGAGCATGGACGACAGCTTGTCGCCACCGGTGAACCATCGGTCGCAAAACGTTCAACGTGTCCAGCACCAGCGTTTGAGTCGCGACCATGTCTTCAATGATGGCGACTCGCTGCAGGCATTCCTCATGCATCGAGCGACGCACGAGGCGATGCCAGGTATGAAAGCCGCGGAGGATTCCCCGTCGGTACCGACGCGCGGCAAGGAAGCGAACTCTTTGGCGTTGGTGGTGACGAAGCGCCACCGAGGATTTCCAGCCGTGGAACCGGGTGGCCAACGTGCGGAGGGTACGGATGCGGGAGGCGTGTCGGGCAGTCGCGAGCACGTCGATCCAGGTCGACCATGTGCGCAGCATGCGGACTCGGCGGGGGGCCGTCATCTTCCGCCACGCGACAAGACATCGACCGACGAGAGCAAGCTTAAATCGGACGAAAAGCAAGTGTGCGATGGTGTGCTTGGCGCGCTTGAGGTCGTGTGCAGACCGAGCGGTGGATTCAATCAAGCTGAGTCCGTGTACCTTGCGCCGCCATGACGACATGGCCAGCGCCAAGTAGACCCGACGCATCCTTTGGCAGGTTCCTCGAAGGGCAAGGACCTGTCTCCACCGGAGGGCGCGATGGGAACTTAATGCAAGCATGCACCGCCGCATCAAGGTATGTCGACATATGTCTTGCCGATGGCTCCACTGCCGTCTCTGGTCCTACAACAAGGTCATTCAGGTCGACTGGCAATACATGCATGAATGGTCGGTATTTCATCAAACCTGAATCGTGAGGTGGTAGCGGTACCAGCGATGCCAGTACCACTGCAAGTGCAGACAATGTCGCAACCCGTCCGATTGTTTGCCAGTGTACGCTGCAAACTTTGCTCGTTGTAGCCCCTGTCTCGCTGCAGCTGTGGCCAGTTGCCACCGCACCAACCCCCGGCGGACTAGTGCGCCTTGGAGCTTACAGGCAAGTCGCCCCAGGACCTGACTGCACTGACGACTGCTTCGAGCAAGGCGATGCCACCCACGGAAACTCTGCCCGATCCGACGCTGATCCCAGTGCTGCTGCAGGAGCCGCGACACACTGGAAGTTCTAGCGGGAGACGGGGTCGCCAACCAGCGCTGCCACGCTCGTCGTAATTGACCCTTGGCCACCCCACACAACCGTCGAAACAGACGATGGCGACTCTGAATGCCAAGTTGCGTGTGTCGATTCCATGCTTGCAGCACCGCTCGTTGATATTCATTTCGTTGATGGGTTAATAGTATAACCGCCAAAGTTTTGTTGGCGGCGACCGCTACTTGTTCGTATTGTCGCTCCAAGAGTGTGTGTGAATGGCCTTGCCATCGTCGTAACGCCGACGCGAGGGTTCTAGTGCAGCCATGTCGTGCCCACTGCCGCAACCATGCAACTTGACGGCGTCGTTGAATATGGTAAGCTGTCCACAATGTATAATGCTTGGTTACGTCCTGACGCTGATGACGCACGGTCATGAGCTGCGCATAGTGAGCCTGCTTCCTAAAAGTCAGCACTCCATACCGCCACTTTGTCCAGCACGTAGACACCAGCGTATCCGTATGCCCGTCGACGTGTGCAAGTTTGACTTCTCGACTGGCGACTCGAAGTTGACGTTGATACCGTTGGGACACGAGTATTACACGGATCGACCACATCCACCGCGTCCATGCGACAGCGAGGCCCTTGTGAGCCAATTTATGCCTCTTGATGATGCGAGCCAATGCAGTTTGCATCAGAAGGCGCCGGTGCACTTTGCTTTTCCACTGGCTAAACGCTTGGACGTGGGACCATTGCCACCCAAAGAGGCCCCGCCGCAAACTTCGCTCGGCATACGCTCGTTGGGTGTGAACGTGATGGCGCCAAAGATACCATGCTTGAAACGTCCGCCGCATAAGTCGGTGGGAGTTGCGACTCGAAGCTCGAGCTTGGCCAGTGTCAGTCGCAAAGATGGAAATGTGGCACTGCACCCAGGCAAACTTCCTCCAGTTGTGAAACATCCGACGGACGGTTTGGTGGTGTCTGTGCCGGTGGAATTGCGCAAGTTTGTTGTGGTGTGACACCTTTCGGCGCCATGTTTCAAATCTACGCCGCACCACACAAACATGGAGAGCCCGGAACAGTTCACCCGCTGCGTGCACTTGAGTCCGTCGTTGAGCTATCGACACCCGCCAAAGCGCCAATGCACTTTGCATGTAAAATCGGTTCCGCTTGGTGTGTGTGCCACTTCGAGCTCGCCTTGTCCACGCGGCAAACGGACGGCGGAGGGCAGTTGCGTGGAGCTGGTGGACGCAGGCCCGTCCCCAGATCAACGTCCATTTGGCCTGAACCGCATGAGAGGCCCAAATCGTCCACGCGTGGTGCTGTCGATGGCGCCATCGATCGGCAACGTGGCAGATCAGACGTTTAAGAAGGCGGCGTCGTAACAGACATCGCCCCCATTGGATGAACATCCCTCGGAGGTAGTTGCGCTGGCGAACGTAGGCCATGTAACTGGCGGTCTGAGAGGCTTGGCATTGCCGACGATTTTGTTCGAGTTTCAAATCCAAGTCGCTGTGGACGTGGGAGTACTTTAAATGAAGTTGCAGTTGTTGTTCTTTGTGTCGTCGAACGCTTCCAGCCACTAGTTTGGACAGACCTGCCGCCAACATGGCGCGAGTTCGCTTGGTGGTGAGTCGCCCCAGCAGTTTAGTTCGACGGCAGAGTCGCCACCATTGAAACAAAACTTGACGAGCATACCGTCGCAGATTCTGATCTTTGAATTGACGACTGAATTGGCCAGAGGTTTGTCGAAGGTGGCGCATCCTTCTCCAGCGAAAAAGCAGTTTGCGAGCCAGTTGGGCGGTTCGTTGCGTGGCGTGCTGGTAGGCCAAGACGTTGACTCGGTGTTGCAACCTCACATACCCACCCCATCGCAAGAACCGCAGGCACAAGTCAATGTGGTTGCCGATAGCACGATGTCGCTCATGTTCGGCTGCTGTCTGATGCTCCAAATGCGCTTCGACATCTGCCTTCTGCTTGGCGCATGCCGATCGTTCTTCGGCCAAAGCTATTTTGGCCCCTTCCAAACAAGTCAACCACGTAGCGATTTGATCGTTTTTCGACTGCAATTGCCACCGCACATAACACTGCACCATTTGGCGGCGGCGATGGCCGTCCACAATCTTGACAATCAGGTACCTTCGACGTACTTGGACCCATCTGTATTTCACCCACCGCTGCCAACGCAACTGCAACCTCTGCCGTCGGTTCGCCCGTCGACAAGTCGCCCGATTTGACACGTGAGTTGTCCATACCAGCCACACCCGGCGCAAAAGGTAGCGAAGTTGTCGCTTGTGCCACACTTGCGCTGTGTACTCTTGGCCCCTTGTAGTCGAGAGCGACCCTTTCCACGACGAAAACACATTGCGGCGAAGGGGCTTGATAAGGGCCAGCGCCTGCTTCTCGAGACAATGTTGCAACGCGTCGAGTGAACGAACCACTGACGTTGGACGCTGCGAAGGAACGTGAAATGAAGGCACCGCTGTAGAAAGCTGCGCAGCATGCCGAGATGGCGCGATATTCCATCGAACAAAGGCTAGGCGGAGTGCGGCCTGACGACGGCGTGTCAGTATCCGACACCACGAGCGCATGCGTCCGGCGTGACATTGCAGAGTGACCAAAACCTGGGCTAGGTGGCGGCGCCGCCGCCGTCGGGCAAGCGAGGCCATGCCTCGTGCTTGCCATCGCTCCAATTGCTCGTTGGCTTCCTCTAGCTTGTGCGCCGTGTTGGTGCTGCATTTCAAAGCTTCTGCGGCCACCTTTTTGTTCATTTCCACAAGCAAGAGCAAGTCCTGGATCTTGGACTCGTACGCTGCTACTTGGCCGTGGCGCAGCTCGCTCTGCTTCTCGGCGTCTGCCAGTTTAAAGCGAAGGTTCGCCTTCTCCACCTCCAAGTGCCGGAGGGCTATCGCAGACAACACCACACCCCCTCCATCGTCCATGCTAGTAGCTTGGGACGATGCCATGGTGGTGGTGCCCAGGCACCCCCACGATTTAAGCCACTTTGAATCTTTTTCGCGCGCCGTTTCAAGATACAAAACTGACCAATCAAACGAGATAGAACACTTTTTTCTACTTGGGCTTAGGTGGACCAAACAAGGACGTGTCGTCGTCAGACCAATCATCCGAGTCAGAATCTTGGGCTTGGAACAGCCGAGACGCGGGGGGGGGCGGCAGTGGAGGTCCCGCAAGCGGGGGTGCTGATGCAGGCTTGGGAGCCTCACCAAACAAGAAAGAGGACGACGAGGTCGTGGGGAGGGTTTGGGCAGCGGTGGAGGCAGCTTCAAAGAGAGTACTGGACGACGTGGACTTGAGATCACCGCCAAACAAACTAGCAGACGACGATGATGCCAAAGTTCCGGCAGTGCCTAGAGCTGCCACCGTTGGTGCGGCTTGAAGCATCGCTCCTGCTGCTGAAGTTTGGGCTCCAAACAACGAAGCAGATGACACTGCCGAAGACGATGCCCAAGACTTGGCGTCCTGTAGAGTAGCATTGGGTGCTACGGAGGCGGCAAGACTTGCTACCCTGGGATCTCCAAGCATTGAGGCGCTGGAACTAGCTGCTGACGATAAGTTCGACAGGGTCGCTGCGGGTTGCAACGTGGCGGCCGCAAACAACGATGCACTGTTAAGTTGGGGAGCCCCTCCAAAGGAACTCGCGCCTGGGGTTGGATTTGTAGCTAGAGTTGGCTTGGCAGACATGCCAACCGACGCTCGGCCAAACAGACCTCCATCGTCGTCACTCCAGTCGTCGTCGCTGTCCACTTTCGCAGGGGGCTTGGGGGCTGGAGCAGACACAGCCGCCTTTGCTGGGGTAGGCACCACTGGGGCAGGGGGTAGTACGGCAGGGGGCGATGGGGTGGCAGACGCAAACAAGGTAGTCGCGCTCGTCGAAGGTTTGGGTGGCGGCGCGCCAAACAGGTCTCCAGCATTCGATTCGTTATCGCTATCGTCTCCACCGAACAAATTAGACGCCGCCGATTTCTTTGGGGCACTTGACGCCAACGGCGCTGGGGTGGTGGATACCAAGTTTCGCTGGGTGGTGGCCCCACTTGCTGCACGGGGTGACTTAGGGGTGCTGAATAAATTCGCACTCGACTCGTTGCTGCCTTCGCTTTGAAACAGGCTGTGCAAACGCGTTTGGGGGGCCGGTGCAACCGTGGCGGTGGTGGTCACCGTTTCTGTCACAGTGACCGTGACTGGTTTAGCTGGTGTTGGGTGGGGGGCCGGAGGACGACCAAATAGTCCCCCGTCGTCATCACTGTCGTCGCTGTCGCCGCCAAACAAGGCAGACGTTCTCGATGGCGCGGCGACCGCAGGGACGGATTGACGTGGGGGGACTGGCTGCTGGGCCGGCACTTGGGGCTGCGAGAAGGGTACAGTGGTCGGGGCGGGTTTTGACCCGAACAGGCCACCACCACCGCCAACGCTGTCGTCGTCGCTGTCGTCGTCAAAGAACGACGATGGTGCGGTGGCCTTGGCACTGGCTGCTCTTGCGACCACTGGGGCGGCGGTTGGTTTCGTCGGCTGGGCTACAGAAGTGGCTGGCGGCCCAAGCGGTGGTTTCTTTGGCGCTGCTGCCGTTCCAAACAACCCATCACCACCATCTTCGTCGCTGTCGTCATCGCTGTCAAAGATCCGTCTGGACGACTTGGAAGCGGCCGCCGGTGTCGGTTCCGCCACGCGAGAGGACGTGCCAAAGAGGCTCGATTCGGTGCTTTCGTTGCGGATGAGTTGCTGCGGAGGAAGCACCGACACTGCACCGGGGGGCGGCTTCTTGTCGTCTTTGGATATTTGTCTCCCAAACAATCCGCTGGATGTCGACTCGGCGTCGCTGTCGCTTTCGCCAAACAGCGATCGGCCTGCAGGAGCGCTAGGTTGTCGAACCGCGGGGGGGGTTGGCTTGGACGCACCAAACAGTCCCCCGTCCGAACTGTCGTCGTCAGAGTCTCCTTGGCGTTGCTGGGCGGCAGTCCGAGCTTTGAGCTCCCCAAACAAGTCCAGTTTCGGTGTCGGTGCGGCTGCCGCCGCCGCCCGTCCGTCAAATAGATCGCGTCCCATATCTTCCGCCGCAAACAACGAGCTGCTCTTGGTTTTGGTGGCTGAGGCAACGCGGTCATCGTCGTCGTCGCTATCATCATCGTCGGCGTCCATGCCGAAAAGGCCGCCGCGACTCGGTGCTTGAGCTCTTGGTTTGGGTGTGGGCTGACCAAACAAATCGTCTGTGGATTCGTCTTCCCATTGCTCGTTCGGTCGCGGGGGTGGCATCGGCGGGCGTCTTGTTTGTACTGCCTCCTCCTCGGATTCTTCTTCGTCTGACGCTTCCTCCTCCGACTCTTCATCTTCCTCGGACTCCTCATCTTCTTCAGACGAATAATCCTCGCCGGAATCGTCATCTTCGTTGGCGTCGTCAGAGTCGGGAGCAGCGCCCAGACCCAAGTACTCGTCTTCCAGAAACTCCTTGGTCCCGATCACAAACGGCAATGGCCGTTCGTTGTAAATGTCGAGCACGTCCTCTTCGTCGCCGACTGCAAACAACTTGAGCGCTTCCATGCCAAGACTCAATGCCGCCCTACGAAGACCATGTATCATCATAGGAGGCCCAATAAGTTGCATCAAGTACGTACCGGTACTGGTCGACGACCAGCACATCCTTCTTCTTGGAATCCTCGGTGGCGATGTCCTTGGACACAGCGGTGGTGCTCTCTGTTGATGTGGTTGACGATGAAGGCTCGTTGGTGGCCTTGGAGCTGTCCTCCTTCACTCCCTCTTCCTCGTCTTCCTCGTACACTCGATTCTCAATGAACTGGCTGTCGCTCAGCAAGAGGAAATGGTTAATCGAGTTGTTCAACCGCACGTCGGCCTTTTCTGCCGACAGCCCGAGTTCCCAGATCGCGTTCTCCAACTCCTTCGTCTTGGCGAAGAGTTGCTGCGAGAACGCCTTGAGGTGGTCAGCCAACGCCGCATCCTCCGCCAGTGTCCAGTCGTTCCCCTGCGCCGGAAGGATCTTCTCCCACACCGCGGTGGTGCTCATCATGACCAGACCAGAATGTGTGCCCATCGAGTATCCGGATATGTGTATCCAAATATCCGGTATTGAAAGGGCACCTTTATCCGGACAACATAGGTTGTCAGAATCAAGCGCCCTTATCTTGCCCCTTTACAGCAGCCACCTCTTAAAAGAACTACTGTACACTGGAAGGGTTCATATGTAAAGCATAATTCACGCAGCGATAATAAGGGTGTACAGGAGTAGCTACAGTACAAGGTCCTGTACTGCTTCTCAAGTTGGTAAAAGTGTATGTGCAAGGAGATAAGTGGGTCGAATGAACTACTTAAGCGTGAGGACGACGATTGGGTTGGAGGTCGTCATCATATGTGATTCAATGCAAATCATCCACAAGTCGCCTTATACTTTTCGAGTGTAAGTTACTTGCACGTGGAGAGAGAGAGAGAAAAGCCAGTCCAGGGGTTGTTGTCGTCCTCAGCCTGAGTCAAAGTAACAGTTATTCACAGCAACCGCCATGCCCAACTCTCCACTGCCATCTACTGCGATTGGCATCGGTTGAGAGGGCCAAACCTTCGATATGGAACGCCGCTTGGGGTGGTGCTGCTAAGCTGAAGCTACAGTACATATTGTTCGCAGATATGCACTTGATCTGAGTATACACGGGGTGAAATCTCGTTGATGGGCATCGCTTTGGATTTCAATCTGTAGGGGACGTTTCGAACACGTTTGAAACACCTTGTTTGCCCCCGTTTCTGTTGCAACGTGGGCGGGGCAGGCGTTCGAAACGCGTCGCTTCGAAATAAGAAGCCGATGGTCCGCACAACGGTGGGATCTCACCGTCCACCCGGGGTACGTACATCGTACGTACATTCAGAAACATAGCATATTCACTATCCAAGATACCGTACGGAATGTACGGCGTCGCCACATTCTGTCATGATTTGATTCGCACGCAGGTCAATAGAACATCCAAGCGCCGGGTGTCATAAATCTTCGATAAGTGTGTTTTTTCCAAATCACAACAAGCACTCACAAAAAAGCCATCTTCAGCGCAACTGATTTGCTAGGACTGCGTCCCATCGACTTGAGATTGACACCCGCTCCAATGGCCACCACGACCGCCACATCTACGAGCAAGAACAGTAGCAGTCGCTTCCTCCCGTCCACCAACAGCTTGTGCTTGGACATGCACAAGGTGCATCCTTCTGCGACGAGACCACCGAGTCCAAAGATGGAGTTTGCCACACCGCCGACGCGAACCATCACCCCACCTCCGATCATGAAGCTTCCACATTCGTTTGCGACCAAGCAGGTATCGCATCCACCGCATTTGCAGCTCAAAGTGTCAGGTACGCATCGTCGCATGTCACGGTTCTTCGACGTTGAAGCTCATCAACGTACAGATCCTTATATTACGATGGACAAGAAGCTGGCAACGCTGAAAATCCCATCGGCGTGCGAGACTCCATTACATTACACGCCACCGCCTCCGTTCCCCGAGACAAGTCCGAGCGAGAACAAGATGATGGATGCCGACTTTGCCAAGCGGTATGACTATCATCGTGCAAGTGCACGCTCCGCAACTCCAGGAACTGACATGATTTGTAGAAAAAAGGGAACCCGACGAGGCACACTGAATCCTGAGGCCAAGAACGTGCTGAAAGCATGGATGTTCTCTCCCGAGCATTTTGCGCATCCATACCCGAGCGAAGAAGAGAAGGAAGAGTTGGCGGCTGAAGCGGGCATTGAGGTCAAGCAACTCTCGAACTGGTTCACGAACGCCCGGAAACGACTGTGGCAACCAGTGCTGCGCCAATCAGGTGTTGAAGTCAAGAACTTTTTGTCTACTGGTCGAGGGGGTCCCCGCGGCGCCAAGTTGGACGTGCCGACGAACATTGCATTTCTGGCTGGATCGAATTCCCCGCCGTCGTCTCCTCGAAGCGCTGGGTCCAATGACGACGATGACCACGATACGTCCTCATTTCGATTTGCATCGGTGCCGGACAAAGTCGTGAAGCGCATGCGACGAACAGAGCCACAGGACAACGACAGCGGCGGCAACTCCCCTGCGTCATCGTCGGACGACTCGTTCGAGCACCATACAAGGGACGGCTTCCGTGACGTCGAGATCTTAGCGGCCAAGTCGCTGCTCGGGTTGCACCGGGAGTACCAGCCGGTGCATTGACTGGTCGCCAACACGATCCAACCCTACTAGGCCGCCAATCGACGGGACACGGCAGTATCATTATCGTTAAATTTATTTTCCCTACACAATAATAAAGCGCATCTTATTTGGTGCGGCGCTCCATCCCCTCCGCGCGCCGCTTTTGCTTTGGGCGTGCGGTTTCTTCCATGCTTTAAACGGCGTCGAAACGTACGAAACGTTTGATACGGATACGAAACGTCCGATATCATCAACCAAAGTTCATCATGAGAGGGAGGGCGATGATCTGCGGTAGGGCGAGTACAGCGCCATGGTATTGCAGGAAGAAAGGCAGGTGCTATGTGCTCTTGATACCAAGGGGAGAACCATGGGCATGCCACGTCCACTGGTGGTTGTAAGCATTCGATGGTGTCGTCGCCGTGTATGAAACGTTTCCATGAGAATGTGGGAAACACGAGCGCTTGTGATTGGCTCTCGAGAACGTTGGCAATGGCATGAGTAACTCTGTGTACCCTTTACGTGGTTTGGAGGGAGATGATGGACGACGAGCCTGACGATCGATCGATCGATCCTTGAGAGGTTGACCAGCCCGGCTAGCATTAACGTTACATAGTGAATGAAGAAGTATCACAAGTCCCAGCCACAGGTAACGGTAGTGACGTAGTATGGCTTGCAAGGATAACGTTGTCTGGCTGGTATGATACAACCAAATGTGGATTCGTACACGTCGAAATCGGAGACCTGGGACGATTTTGCATGACATGTCGCGACATGGTTGTCGTGTCGCCATGTAAGCCCTTATTTGAGCCTTGCGCTGTCAATCGATTGATGGTCAGAATATATATCACGAGTGTATGTCGTCATAGCCACAAGTCTGAGTTATCACGAGGACGACGACGCTTGCTTTCGCGCCAAGTATCGCTCTTTGGCTGCGCGAATGACATCTTGTCGGCTCGCGGTGGGTGGTGCGGCCGGTTCCTCCTTGGCACTTTTGGTGGGTTTATCTGCAGCATCAATCGATGGGGTGACGTCAGACACTCCAGTCGCCTCCTTCTCCACGTGTTGGACTGGTTCAACCGCCTTTTGTCGTTTGGGCGATGGAGGAAGCGCGTCCAAGGACTCTGGTAGTTTTGTGGATAGGGTGCCCGTCGTGTACGCACTAGTAGCTTTGGACACGTCGCCCCCCATGGCAATGTTGTTTGTCAACAGATTCGCGTAAAAGCCAGCCATGCCGTGTTCTCGCTTGGTGACGTCGTTGGCGGCCTCAATCGCAGCCAGTCGCGCGTCTTCCTGCTCCCATCGCTTCGATTCCATCAACTTGCGTTTGTATGAGGCCGTGACGAACTTCTCCTTCTCCCCATGCAGCGCATCGTCCTCTTCGCGCTCCTTGAGCAACCGGCGCTCTCGAATACGATCGTGCTCAACTTCTCGGATCTTTGCTTTCTCCATCAACGCGCCAATGTACTTGGACTGGGGCGCTCCATGGACCTTCTTCGCCTCCTTCAGTTTCTGTCGCTCTACTCGCATGGAATCGTAAATGCCATCGTAGTCAAATACATTGGGATCGTCTGCCAATGCCTCATGTGCCACTCGCTCGGACTTGGAGTAGACGCCTGGTCGAGCTTGTGACATGAGCGGTGGGGGTGGAAGCGATGCCGGTCCCTTGGTCGCAATCGGAGCGGAGTTCGCTTCATCGATGGAGAAGACACCTTTGGACGGCTGATTCTCGCTAGGGAAAGCTGGTTTGGACGACTTCTTTCCTGCCTTGAGCTTCATCGAGAAGGCCATCGTTGCTGGATTCGTCGTCGGTGGAATTGTTTAAACTAAAGGCCTAAATTCCATGAATTTGTGTGTCTAAATAGGATCTGTCCTGATTTCATCTCCTCCAATCATACTTCAATTTTTCGATCACGTCTACAGGCAGAGCGAGCGATGAAAGAGTTTGTGAGTGTTGCGGGCCTCCGTGTAGATGGTCGCCGGGCTGGCGAAGTGCGACGTGTACGTGCCAAGTTTGGTCTCTTCCAGCGCGTGGATGGATCGGCCTATGTCGAGCAAGGCCAGACCAAGGTCATGGCGGTGGTGTACGGACCGAAAGAACACTCTGGCCGTAAGCAAACGGAGGACGTGGCCCAGACCAAGGCGCGCGTCACGTGTGAAGTGACTCAAGCCCCATTTGCCACAAGCGATCGCAAAGTCACGCACAAGGCCGATCGAAAGAAGCTCGAGAGTTCGTTGGCGATTCTCCAAATCTTTGAAAGCGTCATCTCGACGCAATTGTACCCCCGGTCTCAAATTGACATATTTGTCCAAGTGCTGCACGCCGATGGAGGTGCGTGGGTGGCAGATTGTTGTCTTGAAGAAGGAGGACCTTGCACTCATCCGATGCTTCGACAGGTGAACTGGCCGCGTGCATCAATGCCGTGTCGTTGGCGTTGATCGACGCAGGCATTGCCATGAAGGACGTCGTCGTGGCCTGCTCGGCTGGCTACATCCAGCAAACCCTGTTGTGTGGTATGACGTTATCCTCGTCGTGTACATCTTGACATTTCGTTGATAGATCTCAACTACACCGAGCAAAGCTCGCGCTGCCCAGACTTGACGGTTGCGTTAACTGCCCGCAACAACAAGGTACGGACGCCCGCCAAATCGATGCAAAGTACTCACTCTGGGCTACCTTTGTAGCTGAGTTTGGTGCAAATGGAAAGCAAATTGCCACTCGAGTTGTTTGAAGTACGTGACTATTGGTTTCCTTGCGAGGTAGGGTGTGTGTAACTTTTTGTGTAGACGTTGATGGCCACGGCCATGGAAGGGTGTAGCCAAATTTACGACATCCTTCAAAACGAAGTACAGGAAAATACGTGGCGCCGCCTCATTTCTCGAGAAACATAACAATAACATGGTCTCACATTCACGATGTTGGATATACGGATTATAATAGCACGCGGAAGGTGGACCCTGTGCCAGGGGCCAGACGCGGTGTACGCGTGACAATGACTTTGATGGTATCTTTGGCGTAGATGATTTGCTTGGTGTTGGTTTCCTTGGGCGAGTGGTTGCAGCAGTCGCGGCACTGGCATCGAGGGCCGCACGCAATTCCAGCTTGGAAGCAGTCGCAATATTTCTTGGAACACTTGGACTTCTTGCAGCGGCATGCAATGGCGTTAGCATGATCCTGTTTGCATGACATGAGAGATTTGGTTTCACGGAGGTTGTTGTCGTCGTACTACGTTGGGGACCAAAGGTACGAAGTTGGACCCTGTTGCGGTGGCGGCGTTGTTGCCATCGTGGGACATTCCGTTGGCGACGACGGGGGTGGCCAAAGAAGACACCCGAAACGCGTGGACGTTGTTCTTCAAGTGCATGGTAATGGCAGGCAGGCGTTGGGTGGACGTTTTCGTGTTCAAGCACGAAACACAAGTGCATTGTGGAGTGCAAAACCCCCGCGTTAAAAAGCACCGGCAGTACCTATTTCGCACACAATCCATGACCATTCATTCATTTATGCATCCAAAAACTCAGTACGTACAGTTTCAAGCATCCCGTTTTGCATCCACAGCAAGTTGATGAAGGCTGACTGTTCTCGTGCAAGGCCAATGCAGCGTTTGCAACGTCCAAGTCCCTTGGTTGTTCACCCACAATGTCAGTCGTCGACGGAGGGCTTGGATCACACAATTTCACAGTCGTGGGGGTCTCCTTCGCAGAACGTTCAATGCTTGGAAGCATCAGGTCCCTCATATCAGTTGGCCGCGCTACAGGAGCATGCATCGATCGCTTCTTGTCCAGGAGCGCGCAGCACATGTCTAGCCATGCCAGATTCAACTCGTCTTTGCGCCCTTGACTATCCTCCGGCGATGCCAATCGAGACTTGTCCACGGCAGGTATAGATTCCACAGGACTTGATGGTTTGGATCGTTTCGACGTGTTGGCCCTGGCCTCGTCCATTTGGGCGAGGACGTTGTGGGAGATGGTACTCAGCGGCTTCCTCTTGACAGGTGCATGCACTTTGTCCAGTGAGCGTGAGGAGCATCCCTTGAGGTTCTCCTTTCGGGTCAATAACGGTCGAATCGGGGACGAGTCCATGGAGGTGGCGGCTATTGGACGTCACGCGCAAGTTCGGAAGTGACGATTTTGGCTCCAATGTATTCGAACGCAAAGGCGCCAAAGCGATTCAAATTAGTGTGTATCCGGATTTATACGGATACACCATCCCTGCCACATACCAGTACAGTAGTATTGTTGCGGTTTCACCACACGCAGGACGTTTCAGTAGTTAGCAACGGCCCCGACATCACCCTGTGCATCATGGCGGCGGAGGTCCAAGACTCCACCACCGGCGACGGAAATGCACGAAGTGACGGGAAGCGAAGGCGGAGTGTCATTACAACATTCCGGACAGAGCAGGCTGCGTTTCGCCAACGTCGAATAGACCCCCCTCCTCCAGCTGAAATACCCCAACTACAGTCGAGCGAAGCATCAACAGAACAGAACCATAACGGCAGCAGCAAGGCGGACACGGCAACCATGAATGCGCTTCGGAAAAAGTCAACTCAGGGAAAACAAATCAACAAGATCAAAGTCATCCCTGTCGACGTCGATAAGGTTGTTGCCTCCCACGAGGCCCCCAAGAAACCCAAAAGCCCCAAGACAGCAAATCACCAGCAGTCGAAGCGGTCGAGCTTGATCGAGAAAGCCCGGAGCATTCGACGGCTGGAGGAAAAGGTGTCGTTCATTACGCGTCGTCGCCTCTTTTTCAAGCGCATGCGGCAGCTCATCCTGTATGTGTTCGCGTTTGCCGTGATCGTGGGCATTGGGCTGTACACGGTTCTCGCCCCCGACTCGTCCATCACAGTATGTTGCTCGGGCCAAGTGACGACAATAGCTCAGGGCGTCCGTGCGATGGCGATGGCGTTCGATGGCAACGGAACGCTGTACATTGCCGATGCATTTGCCAACAAGATCTTTACATGGAACGGCACACTAAACGAATTCGCTGGCTCCACCGTGTACGCGTACGTGTGCACAACCCCTTTCATAATAAATACTATGTGGTTGCCGCATGATGATGTACACACTGCGTAGGGGGGACGTGGACGGAACGTTATCGAACGCCCGGTTTTCATTCCCCACGGGTATTGCGGTGGACGTGGCCAACAGCATTATTTACGTCGCGTCTCGCGACTACCAGAGCGTACGGTCGATCCAAAACGGCACCGTGTCGACCAAACTGGCGCAGCGCGACCATCGGCCGGCACAGCCCACGGCGCTGCCCATCAACGTGTTTGACGAAGAAGTCGACTATTACATGCCGATTTCCGTCGCAGTGGACGACGCGGGCAATGTCTTTATCGGGTCCGGCGCCATGGTTGAGAGAATCGATGCCGTTGACGGGTCCGTGGCCGTGTTGGCCGGGAACGGGTGGCGCGGGTACGCCGACGGAAGCGGCGCCACCGCCCGCTTCCGGTACGTGCGGTCGCTCGTAGTGGACCCGTCGGGACTGTTTGTATACGTGGCCGACATGTACAACAAGGCGATTCGCCGCATCGACGTTGCCAACGACCAAGTGACGACGCTGACGGCCAAGGGATTTGCGGCCACGAGCACCACGCGCCGCGCCGACTGCTTCCAGTTCGACCGGCCATACGGTGTCGCATTGGGGGGCAACGGCACCGAGCTGGTCGTGGCCGATTCGTGGAACAACACGGTCGTGGTGTTCGACATCAACGGCACGTACTTGCGCGCGTACGGCACGAGCGAGTTTGGGTCCCAAGACGACTTTGTGCCCGAGGACCCGACGCTGCACCCGCTGTCGGCTACGTTTGGCAACCCCGCGACGGTGGCGGTGGATGCGAACGGCACGATTTACGTCGGCGATGCCGGCAATCGACTGATACGAAAGATCCAGCCATGAACCAAACCAACCCCACACCGCACAATATTATTTAACCACACAAGTCCTGCTACTGAACGACTTAGTATGTGTCGTGGTCGTTGTACTACTGTACAGTACTATTACTATGTTAAAGAAGTAGTTGTAGTAGCAGCACTTGCCCTTCTTAATCGGTCAGGGCTTTGGCCAATGCGACGATCGTGAACCGGACTTCGCCTTCGTCCCGAGCCATGAATTGCCGAATCACGGCACACGCGTCCTATCGACATGATTCGTTCGAGGGCATGTTGAGTTGGTTGCGTCGTACCCCAAGCAAAGTTTCGGGGGATGAAGGGCCATGGTTGATCGGGAACTCCTTGCGGCCGTCCAACTCGTACAGGTGACCGTCCACGACACTACCGATAGAATGCACATTATATCGAACAAGCCACAAACAAACCTGAAGCACACGAAATGCGTGTTGATCGGGTCGTCCACGTGCTCGAGTTGCTACGATTTGATGGTCAAGTGTAGCTAGCTAGCATACTTTATTGTCAAAGGTCCCCCTACCTCGGACTGGCCGTCTTGGGCTGCACTGGCATGGGTTTCTTCAATCTCGTCGTCGGCTTGTAAAATCGCCGCAATCTCGTCTGGTGTTTTGCCGTCAGTTTTCGAGAAAAACGAGCTGAGGAAGCTGCCGTGGCCTATTATATGTTCATGGTGTGCGTAATGGAACATCCACACAGGCAACGTACGAGGAGGCAAGTAGTCCCTGGCATTGCCCAGCGCATGCAGTATACCAACAGTACCGCAAGCGTTGCCTACAGAACAGTGGTGATCGGCAATCAACTCGAGGATACATCGATGGACATGCGCATGCATACCAACAGTTTGCTTCATGTAATACACGTTCTTTGACACGATCTGCCCGTCTTTTTCGATACGCTCCCGCTCCTGCTTGGCATGATCCTCAGTCTAATCAAACTGGCATGAGCAACCGATCCGACCCTGGATTGCCTCACCGCTGGTTTGATGGGAAAGAGCATGACGACACCCAACACGGGACGCAACACCATCTCCAACGCCCAGTCGTCTGTGCTGTACACATCACAGAACGCAAACTCTGCGTCTTCAGCAATACCCATACGCCGAATGTACTCGTTCATGACTTGTGGGTTCGATTCCAACGGAAACCATCGCTTCGCCTTTGTCGTAGTGGCGGCAGCCATGATAGCACAGATCTCAAATACAATCAGGAATTCCCCGAAGTAAGCCCACGAAGAATTGGGCACTTTCGATGAAATGGGGATTTCCCAAATTGAGTGGGGGGAAATTCTCCAAAGAGATATTATTAATAATATTGTTGTGTTTATTGTAAACAATGAATTGACACAATTAACTGTAAATATTCAATGTCAGAAGAATCGGCGCAGAAGTATCCAATCCGATTGCAGGAAGCCGTCATCAACGTCAAATTAGTGTGATCCTTCAACTAGTGTGATACCAATCACCAGAGCAAATCAATTTACGAAATTTCGCATCTGTGACATTTACTACGTACGGAGTACTGTAGTATAATATAATAGTTAAAAATACTCCTTCGCAAGATGTTGAGACCAAAAAAGAAACAGTATCAACAAATCGGTAGTTTGCGCACCAGTTTGCGAAGACACAAATGCAAGTCAATCAAAAGTAACGTTAACGACCAAGGTGCGAAGTTCGGAAAATCTCCGGCGCAAACTATCGATCGCAACGCGGGATATCAAGATTCGGACACGAAGTGAAACACGAGTACGAACCGTGTGAGCGTGCCGCGACAGACTCGTTTTGGCGGAAAGATGTACAGTACTGTACAATTAGAGCACTTCTGGTTGAATTCTAGTCAGGCTTCGGTGCCCAAGACAACAAAACTATAAGAATTTTGTGTTCTGCCACCCACTGGGAAATGCGTGAACGGGCGTTAACTCATCATAACATGAAGTTATGGAAAGCCAAAATCGATGTATTCATGGTTGGCGAGGGCAATCTCGAGTTTCTACGCAGTCGTCCAACTGTTTGGAGAGGGACATTGTGTAACCGTGCCCATCATTCGGTTATCATCGGGATGACTAGACGACACCTCTTCAGTCCAAGGTGTATTTTCGCTTACCAAGATGTCCTCTCGCGCGACCAAGGTGTTCTCCCAACGATACATCCATGGTTGATTGCACGTAGCTTAGTGATAGCGTATTAACGCTATCAATTCTTTCTTGATTCTACACCTCCGCCTTCCTCTACGCACATTCATACTTGGTAGCACTCCACGTTCGTCCAGTCGACCAACACTATGTCCTCCACCAACACCGCAGCGCATCAGGCAGTCCTCGCTCTCCTGCGTCGCAGTTTTTGCGACAACGATACCGCGCTACTCCTTCGCGGGATTACTCCCGATGATCAGGCACGCCTTGTGGAAGGCATCGGTAGAATAATCGAACTCTCTCTCGCTGAAGCTACAGCAGCATCCACTGCTTTCCATGCGACGATGGAAGAACAAGTCGCCCAAATGACTTCGCACAGGTGAAACCTTAAAGACTCCGCGTCACCCGCGAGATAACGGTGACCTTAGAAGAGCAGTGTTCCTTCATGCTGACACATGGTCGCACACTCCAGGATTCTCTGCGAATCGCTGAAGACAAGATTGCGCGCCTCACGCGCGCTTTGGAGTCGTCGGACACCCCATCGGCTCCTCGGCTGTAGCTGATCAAGTTGGATGTCGCCAAATTCGGCGGGGCGGAGTCCGACAAACTCCTCCACTGGGGTTTACAAGTCAGCACTGCTGCTGACACCCAGCGCATCTCCGACAAAGCCACCTGCGTGGCTTTCGCGATGTCGCACTTGAAAGGCCGTGCGGAAAGTTGGGCGTTCTCCGAACGCTTGACAGACCCCCATTGCTTTCCGTCCTTCGCGATCTTCAACACCGAACTGGAACCAATGTTCCTGCCAACCCACAGCGACTTTCGTTATCGCTTGCAGTAACTGGCATGCAAGCAAGAGAAGAGTTCTCTCCAAGAATTCAACCATGACCTTCGCTTCTTGGCAGCGAATGTTAACGACGAGGAATCGCTCCCCGAGTCGCTGCGTGTGACCGTCTTCATGGACGATATCAACCAAGGTCCGGCGCCCACCCAGCCACAAACCTTCGAAGAAGCCGTTCGAATCGCGCTTTCGGAGTCGTTTTCCTCGTCCTTCGCGCAGACGGGCAGAGGCTCCTCGGATATGGATGTCTCCGTGCTCACCCAGGATTCGGACTATCGCACGTGTTTCAATTGCGGTCGCCCTGGACACTTTTCTCGTGCTTGCCCGGCACCTCGCCGTGTGGCGTCAACCGCGCCTCCGTCACACGGTTTCTCCCGTGTCCCACCTGATAACTTCTCGCGTCGTCCTCCGAGCGGTCCACTTAACCGCTTCAGTTGCGAATGCCATGGCACCTCGCGCCGGCCTTTCCGCTCCGTTCCGGGCTCGAGTGCGGCGGGAAAAGGTCGCTCTCAGTAGGCGCGAGGCGACCTACACACCCCAGATCCTCTGGCGGTGTGTGGCGCGTTGACACACTCACTGAACCTAGCCTCGGACACAGACCTTCTTCTGTGTCAAGATGGCCGACGGCCACAAGGCAATGTGTTCATGTATTGCTAAGATTCGACTCGGTGGATTTATTTTTGCTGCACACAAAATGGGCCGCAGTACCTCTTCAAATTTATGCGTATGCACGATTACTAGAGGGGTGGGGTTGATCATTTCATTCTACACCAACTCTGACAGTACCATTGGTTAAAATGGTGCAAACACTTTGGTAAACAATTTACGAGCCCAAATGTTGCCTTTCAATTGGTTAACAGAATTTTCGGCTGTTTTGCACGTCAATCCGAGGCGAACGTTATAGATTTGTGCAGGTTTCGACCTACGATCTAGATGCAGGAAACTCCTATTCAAGCCAATGAAACTTACTTACGCATTCATAACGCACTTTGATTGGACAAATTTTGACAATATGGAGTGTACTTGATGTTTGTATGCATAATGATGCACAATTGATTAATAATTTCCAGTCAGAGTTTCGAGAATCGAGAGCCAAAACACTAAAATCGCGTTTTCTAGGGTCATAGATCGATCCAGAGACCTCATTTTTGGAGTCCTAGCGAGAAGGTACTATGGCCATGAGGCGAAGGCACGGGCGGGTATGGACAGCCCATTAGTCCATATAGGTGCGTATTCGATTACTCAATCATTCGTTTACTCAATCATTTTGATGATCTCATCCTCATGTCACGCTATGATTACGCATGTGTGAAATATTTGTTCTCAATTTGCAAACACAAATGTCAAAGCTCATTATCCATTTGGCCTTCCACCTCCACCCCCAACATCAAAGCTCTATGGTTGAGCGCTGACATTAGTCAGAGGTATCGGTTCAAATCCGATTGATGTTTGCTTATGCTCTGTCCACCTGCAGTCCTTGTTAACGCCGCCGTCCTTAACCGCTAGATTCGCAGTCGTCGTCCTCTTCGTCTCCGTCGCTGCTTTCGCCATCCACGAACACTGCAATCAGTCCTTCGCCCATGTCTTGGTCGCTGTCGCTTGCGTCGCTGGCCATGACTCCTTGCACGTCGTCATCGTCGTCGTCACCAACCTCGGTTTGCTCTGGGGTTCCGTCGGCAATGCCACCAGGTGTGTTCGCCGCAATGAGGACCGCGACCTTGTTGATGTCCCAGAAGTGGGAGTATACCTTGAGGAACAAGGTGACTTCGAGATTCGCCGGACTCATCGCCTTCAGCTGCGTGCCGAAGACTTCCTTGGCAGCCAAAAAGAAGCGCTCAACGCCGTTTGACGTAGGCGGCAGTTGCTTCAAGATTGGGTCGTATGCAGACGCCATGTCGATGTCTCCATCCGTCACCGCGTCCTCTGCAAACGTCTCAGTCGTCCTTTCGCGTCTTGGGGCCGGAGTTGGGGGTGCCTTGAATTTGTCCAACACGACTTTGTCGGCAGCAGTCATGGCAACCCGCTATTGCAACGCTATGACGGCGTGTTCGAATTCCTTCGAGTGGACGATGCTCGCTTCCGAAGCAAGGCGACTTTCCATCGAAGGCCATTCATTCGGAGAGAACTTTGTCAAAGATGACACGGACATTCGCGGCGGAGCAGTCGCGACGTTGCAAGTACTTCGTCACGCTCTGCCACTTGGTTAGGAGAGGGAGGGAGCGTTCCATCCGCTTCAGCATTGCCTTGGACGGCATCATCAGTTTCGCGCGCTTGGGCATCCGTTCGAGCGAAGGCAGGAGCTTCTGGAAGCGGACTAACATCTCGAACGCAGACGACCAACGTGTGGCTTGGAGGAGCCTCGGCTTCAACGACGCCAGCTTCTTTAACTCGGCCGCATTGTTGAGTGCTTTGCATGACAACATGACCTTTTGGACTTTCGCCAGCAGGTCAGCAAACTCGCCCTTCATGAGGTCTTGGCCCGCCAAGTTGAACCGATGCGATGCGCATCCGAGCAGAGGTACCTTCAGGTCTGTCGCCATCTTCTTGTTGACGGAGCAATTGTCCGCGACAATGAAGGTGATGTAGGAGGTTGAGCGCTTGAACTTGGACAGTTGCTTCCGAATCCAGTGAACGTGCCTCTCCGCGGTGTGCGACACGACTTCATCGGTTTCAGGGCCCGGTTGGAGTTCATCCACCCCTTGGACATCGGCGAGGCTTGTGTCTTTGATTAGAGGCGTCATCGAGAGCAGGACCTCCTTGCGATCGCCCGCATTCACGTAAACAGTAAAAAGTGCAATGAAGTGTTCACTCATGTGTGTCCATCCATCGAGAACCACTCCGAACTTGTCCGGCAGTTCCTTCATGATGTCTTCGACGACTGAGGCGCGCAGCAGATGCATGTAGTGCTTGACTTGGTTGTGCGATAGTCCCTTGAAGGAGCCGTACTCACGGGTGCGCTTCTTTTCAAAACAGCTGAAAGGCAGATTGTTGCTGATAATCCAATCGAGGGTCATGAAGACGACTTCACTCTTGGTGTTCACGAACGCTGATGGGATGAGATGCGCGTCGAGGCCGCCGTAGGTTGACTGAGACATAGTCTTCTGCCAAGTAGCAGTGTGATTGTACGTCGCATGGGAGCGAACGTTGCTGTTCCCAGAAGATTTCTTGACCCGAACAGTGCCCTTGAGTGTCGGAGGACATAAGCGGCACTTGAATGTCATGGCGCCGGAAACGGGGTCTACGATCGGGGGGGCAAAGAAAACGTCCACGATTTCGTTCGTGGTCCAAGACTCACGCGCGGGCTGGGGTTGAAGGACTTGCTGACGTGTTCCAGACATTTGGTATTTGTGTTGCGTGGATGTTGCGAGCTCTTTCGAGTCCCCAATGCGATAAAAGATGGCAACATGTGAGCCAGCCAAAGAATTGACTAGTCATACTGTAGGGTGCTCATAAATTGTCCAATCAGGGTTATTGGATTCGGAAAACCAATATTATTGCAATATTTCTTGGGGCCCAATAAAATAACTGCAATAATTCTCTGGAAATCAATAATTATGGTATTATTACTTGGGATTCAATAAAATATCTACAATAATTCTATGGAAAACAATAACTATTGCAATATATTTCACTCTTTCAATAAATAATTTTAATGTTCAGGCACAATATAATAAAATATTTATTGCAATATATTTAAATAATTGTTTTCACAATGTATTTTTGACAATCGCTGGTCTCAACCACGCATCATCGTTGACGTTCCCATCACCTTCGACGGTTTCGACTCGGTCGAACCGTTCGATGGTATCGACCTCGATGAGAGATGGGATCTCATCATCGGGATGTCCTGGCTGGAGTCCCATCAGCCTTGAATCGATTGGAAGGCAACATCCGTGCACAAGGTCACTTGGCTCAACGCGAGCCAGCCCTGGATTCATCGGGGGGCTGCCGATCGTCTTCCCCCGTCCACCACCAACCCGCTTGGTCCTCCGTTTGTGGCGATGAGTAATGATCTCGTCCCTCTCAGCCCCTCAGCGCGCTCATAGGCCCCAGCGCACGCGGCCCCACCGGACCCCGCCATGGTGCTGAACCACCCCCCTTTAATTCCCCCTATTCCCCCTACAGAGTCGCCCTCTGCTGTCATCGGTGAGGCTCCGTCCTCGCCCCCGATTGCTGCCTCAACCTCGGCAGCCACGTTTATGGAAGAAACGTGTAACTTGAACGAACTACCTCGGACGTCCTCCGCGATCCTTGCACTACCGGAGATGAGCTTCCACTCACTTGTAGAATCTCTCCGTGCTCATGATATCGCCGCGATGGCGATGGCGATGATCACTGTCGAAGAAGATATGGATCTCTTTTCGGCCTCGACCGCAGATGACTCGGTCCTCGCCGCTCCTTTGAAGTCCCAGACATGGGACTCCCTGCGGTCCAAACCCTGTTACGACCTCCTCAAGGAGTTTGAGGACGACTTTCCCGACGAGGTGCCCTGTCGACTCCCCGTCGACAAGGGCATTCAACACGAGATTGACTTCGTACCCGGCGCTAAGTATTGCGTCACGCCGCAATGGCCGCTGCCTTGCGACCAAGTCGACGCCTTCTTCGCTGCCCGCAATGCGGCGGGTCACGTCCGCTTTTGTGTGAAGAAGCCCGGCGGGAAATGGCGTATCGTCCACGCCTTTAACAACCTGAACGCCGCCACGATTCCGGCGCGGACGCCGATTCCCCGCAACGACGTTATCATCGACGGCATGGGTTGATCTACCATTTTCTCTACCAACGACCGTCCGCGATGGTTTCTACCAAATCCTGATGCGTCTGTGCGAGGTCCCTAAGACGGCGTTTTCCACGCCGAGTGGCATGTTGTGGGGGTGGCTGGTCATGCCACAAGGTCTCTCCAGCGCCCCAGCGACGTTCAACCGCATGGTCCGCGAAGTTCCGTGCGCTTCGCGAATTCGCACGGTCGTACTTCGATGACAGCTGCGCTTCGGCCGCGCAGTCTGATCGTGACGTTCACCGCGGTCACCTCCGTCAGGTGTTTGAGGTCCTCCGTGCGAACGGTCTCTACGCCAATCTCGCCAAATGCATGTTTGGCGTCGACGAAATCCTAGTCCTGGGAGATTTGGTGGGGGTGAACGGCTGTCGGGTTGACCCCGACAAAATCAAGGCCATTTCGGAATGGCCTATCCCATCCTCTGTCAAGGATCTTTGTCGCTGGCTGCGCCTTGCGACGTGCCTCCACAAATACTCGCACAACTTTGCGGCCATCGCACAGCCGCTGTTCGGCTCCTCCTCAAGGATGCACTTTGGGTTTGGGATTCCGCATGCCAGTCGGCCTTCGAAGGTCTCAAGCTCAACCTTCATCTTGGCGCTCCCGGGCTTTGGTAAACCTGTTCCCGTCGTCTACGACGCTTCGCAGTTTGCCATCGGCTGCTGCATGATGCAGCTGGACGCCTCCGGTCACCCTCGTCCGGTCACATACCAAAGCCGCCAATCCCATGCGGCTAAGCGGGCGTACCCGGTTCACGATTTGGAACTTCTCTCCATGAAGTACGCCCTCACCATGTTCCAAATCTACCTTCTCGGCGCTAAAATCTTCGTGGTTTACACCAATCATACGTCCTTACGCACGGCGACCAACACACCGCACATTTCGCAGCCCAAGGAGGTGACCGCACAGGCACCGCCAATCGACCACGCGATCTCGAACGCCCACGCCACCGTGATCGTGGGATCACGATGGACAACGACGGGTCGGCAGTTCGCTGTGCGAGCCGGGCCAACAACAACTTGGCATTCAGAAGATTACATTAAGCATACCTTACCTCGGGTTGCGCCGCGCGACAGACCGAGCGTCCAAACACCCATACTTCTGTCGCCGCACCCCGGCGAAATTAGACAGCGAGTTGGCCAACCGCTCCGCTGTTAGCGACGGCTGCCCATGCCGCCCACTGCCTTCCCCGACAAGCGTCCACACAAACGCTACAAGGTACTTAAGCAATGTCTCGTCATTGCAAAGCTCGATCCGACCCACGTCCACAGTCCAGCGCTCAAGGCGCCCCCGTTCATACAACACGCTCATGCCGCCCTTGAACTCATCGAACCGGTGAAAAATCACTCTCGCAAGCTGCATGCCTTCCAAGGTCAGCAGCATCCACAACGCCGGCTGCTCAAACGACTGAGCGCTCGCAAATAAGTGAAGGTACCGTTCCACAACAGCAACGTTGGCCGTTCGGTATCCACAGTCGTCCCGAGTTTCGTCAAACTCGCCCACCACGGTCAAGCGGCGCATAATATCACGCACGGACTCCAAGTCCACGCCGGCACACCCGACAGGCGTGAAGATCCGTGAGCGTTCCCAGTAGAATCCCAACTCTCGCTCGAACACTTCGTCACGAGCAAGGTCGGTCCGCTCCGGCCCACCACCTTCGCCTTTTACTTTCGCCTCCGTCTTCACGGCGACTCCCTTGGCGCTCGCTTCTCCTTGCTCTCTACCGCCGCCGGATGCGTCGGGATTTCGCCACCCACCCGCTGGCCGCCAATGTTGCTACTACTGCAGACTCCTTGGCTGCTTCGTCAGCCGCTTTTACTGCGGCCCCCGCGATCGACTTGGCCTCCTCGGCGCGCTTTACCTTCGCCTTTGTGGCGGCCTCCTCCCGTGCCAAGTGCTGCTCCAGCAGCTTTCACACAAACTTCGGGGGACACCGTATGCATGGCGCTGTTCACCAATTCCGCAGCCTCTTGCTGCTCACATGTACACGCTTGTTCATGAAATACGACGAATTTGGCAAGTTCGAAGTTGTCTTTCGCTACAGCTGTTGATTCAGGTGGCATGCTATACGGTGTTGTTGATAGTATTGGTTGTTGCTATGAGGAATGGAGAGTTCCGTGACCCATTGTGCAGCATTGAGAAATCGCTGACCTGCATGCGCGCCTTTCCCGTATGTACGAATGCACAATCTGTAGGCTGCAGGATGTATAAACTGTTTTGCAAAACGTAAATAATTATGGGATGAATAAAAATACGCATGCGTAATACAAATATCAACATAAAGATGTTCATGCGAATAATAATATGTAACTGTCGCGTGCATGTACAGTACGCCGTTTGTTTCCGTGGAAGTTGTAGATTCAGTTCCTGATTGACTCGCACGTGACAACTTGAATAAAGTTGCATGTATTCCCTCAACAATGGTGTACACCATAATTTGAAGGAATCAAGGACCTTTAGTTATTTATAGTGATGTGTTTGTGTCTTGTTCCCACATCTCCCTGGGTCATCACAGGCATAACGCTTTTATCCGGACGAAATATACTGTAGAATGCGAAGGCCATTGCATTGCGTTAGTTTCGAAACTGCCAAATTCATATTTATATTACAGTTTGTATGAACCTGGAATCATACCCTACGCCTACAAAAAGTACGAAGTAACCGTATCCCTAGTATCCAGAAATTATCCAATCAGAGCTGTAGATCTATGTTTATGACCAGTCAATTCACATCCGGATAATTATCTGGCAGGAGAGAAAACACCTTCATTAGGATAGGGCAGTTCGTCCACATAGTCAACACTGATTGGTGGAATTATAGGTGCCAACCATTCTGGAACAGTAAAGAAACTTCATCAAAATCATCATTTTGCATCATTTCTAGTTTTGCTTCGGAGCCGTCACATCGACTTCACGCCATATTGTGAGCCGGTGTCCAACGACGATGTCGTTCGGGCAAGTCAACATTATTCAGATCAACCCTGGTGGACGGCACATGTCACGACGAAAGCGTCCGCAGCCATGACGCCGTTGCAGTTGTAGCCTTCAAACCATTCTACGTTGAAATGTGTGAAGTAGTGCAGCGACACGCATGTCGTAAGCTAGCGTCTACCACGTGACCATGCGTGACAAGATCTCCGTGTGGATTTCTTGGCGTGATCAGCACTGTTGTCGCAAACAAAGTTGTGTCGGAACTTTGGCGTGATGCACCAGCACAGCACAACCTGTCGACCAGCGAGTTAGTGTACACAAAGGCGCTACGTCCTGCAAGTGGCTGTTCATAACAAGTTCAAGCATAGCCACCTGTAAAGGCGACGTCAACTATGTCCATCAACAAAGATAAATGTCACCCGTCCTCACGTGCTCGGACGACCTTCAAGCACCATGTCAACGGGTCGGGTCATGCATCACAGCGTTTTCAAACCACGTTTGCCACGGCGTTCGTCATGTCGCAGTTGAAGCACGTTCGCCTAGCACGATTTGCAATTACATCTCGACAACTCCTAAGCCGTGTTGCACTGTCCTGCACGGCGGCAAATCAAACGCGTGCGCCACACCTCCCTTCTCAAGCACACATACATCACCGGCAACAACATAGGCGAGTCAGAACATCACCTACAGTAGCCCACCACAGGGTCAAAGCAAGCCCAACTCCAAGCAAAAATTGGTTTTGTTCACAAGACCACTTCCGGTAGGTTAGTGACACATTGGTGCCTGTACGTGCAAACGTCGAATGTGTCGGGTGTGGTCGGTTGATGGCATTAAGTGCCTGCCAAATCGGAGCCGTCTATCGCTGCTTTGGGGTCAAGATCAAGGCGTCCGTGAGCCGAGTTGTCC